AAAAAAAAAAAAGTGGAAAAAACAACCCAAAACAATTGGGGAAAAAAATCATAAGTGATCTGAGAAACATTTATTGTTATGAACCATGATAATAGAAAATTTGTCTTTATTTTTTTTTTCTTTTCTTATTGTCTTTACCTTTATTTTCTTCTTATCATGGAAGTTCTGCTGTGTCACCGTCAGATCCATTGACATTTTGGACCATCCAACGGCTGTATTTTTATTTCTTGAAAAATGATCATCCAATCTATACTTTATGTTTATAGGTTTAGCTTAACATTTTACTTTCTACTGATTTCAGAGAAGAAAAAAATTAATACAAGAAGCCTTTTCTTTCTGGTGACTCTTTTACTTATTAAGAGAACATGAAATTTTAGGATTTAATCATAATTGTATTTTTTTATACTTGAGATTTCAAATTATTAAATTTTGTGTCATTAAAAGAGCTAATTTGTTTTTTTCTATTCACTCATTTGAATTTTTTAATATGCATTTAAAAATAAATATATAGTATCTTAAAATTATAAAAACACATTTAATATATAATAATTTAAAATATTTAATGCTCTTCGTAAACACGTGTTACGAAAACCCTTACCGATTATATGCTGTTGCCTGTTTGTTCTCTTTTAAAAGAATGCTACTAATAATTTTTAATTATTAATTAAATTTTTTTAAAAAAAATATAGAAATATAAGAAATGACACTAATTTAAAAATAAAACATTTCTGTTTTTCTTTTAATTTTCATAAAAATAAAATCATTATCAAGTATTTAAATAACTATATAAAATAAATAAATGTACAAATTTAGAGCAAGTAATCCATTGTCGTCCAGCGGTTAGGATATCTGGCTTTCACCCAGGAGACCCGGGTTCGATTCCCGGCAATGGAAATTTTTTAATATACAAACAAAAGCTTGGTTGCTCAGAATTTATGCATGAATGATGAAAAGGATAATGACATTAAAATAACAAATTAAGTAAATTTTATATGAATAAAAAAAAACAAATATTAATGCCATGTTTCAAACACTTTATGTGACAAGTCGTGCTAATGTTATTTTTCATTATTTAATTAAAGTATGGTATCTCTCGAAATTATCATAGTTGTATTTATTAATATTTAAACTTGAAACTATAAATTAAATTAAAATAATTCTTATCAATTAATCTCTGTGTTAAAACAAAATATTTTGAATTTATTTATTGAAGGACATGGTTTCATAAATGGGTATTGGATGCTACCCCATTACCCTGATATGGGTGGTGATAATTGATCATTGGGGCACTTGATTTATCCTCTTATTAACGCATCAAAATTAGGTACTTGCTAGCATTATACTTATGGCTTAAATTGTGAAATTAGTCCTAACGAACCAAGCAACACTTAATTATTTAATTAAAAAATGTTAATATTTTTTACATTGAAATATAAGAAAAATTATCATCGTTTATTTAATTGAAAGAATATAAAATATTCTTTCAAATTTATAGACAGAAACATCAACGTGTTTTTTTAATTTGACAAAAAAAATTTTCCTAAAAATTCTCTCAAATAGAAATAAAAAATAAAATAACTGGAAAAAAAATACAGTTGAATTATTATAATATTCTTCTTCTATAGTGATCATTTGAAAAGCAAGTATTTCAAATGTATTTTTACAAAATAAAAAAGCTTATGGGTCTTTTATTTTTTTTAATATCTTCCATTTCTTAATTGATTCCATAAAGCAACTATTAAAAGGCCACCACTACTCTATCATGCTGCTTTGGACTATGTTTCAACGCTCGAATTATAGATAAGATTTTTCTCCATCTATGTACATATAAAATGAAGACAATATGACACTCAAACTAGAAATAAAAGGGTAGAAAAGAAGGTTTTAATTTTGACATAAAAGCCTCTTAAAAACATCTTAAATTTATTTTAGAGAAAAATGGTATTGATCATAAAATCCTTAAGTTTTACTTTAAAAAGATTATTTTATTTAGATCGTAAAATAAAAGTTTAAGTTGATCGTAAATTTGTTAAAACTTAAATTAATAAAATACTTGAAATATAATTAAAAATCCAAAAAAATTAAATAAAAATACTAAAAAATAATTTAAATTTAAAATATCCAATATATTTATTTATTTATTTATTATTAGTTCACGCTTACAGCATACTGGCGTGAGGGGTGTGGTGTCCACAGTCACATGGACACAACATTCCAGGAATTTGGTTCTTAACTCTTCCCATTTCTGCGACAAGTTCCTCCCACTGCGTTAAATCCGTTTTGTTGCATCTTCTCAACACAAACCTCTTTAATTTCACTCTTTCAAGAATCAACTATATAATGTTATAGAATTTGGTTAAAAATCAATTTTTTATATATATTATTAGATATAAACTATTAATGAACTTAAAGTTCATTGCATTTTTATTAATGATTAATGGGTATAAACTTTTATGTCATTTTATAATACATAAAAATCATACATTTTGGTGTACAGCACAGAGCAATGAAATGAGAAGCACCCTTATACGTGACTTTGCATATTTAGACATTCTCAGCTTAGTTTTGTAAAGAAAAATAAACTTGGATAGAAATAACAAAGAAATTTGGGTTTAATTTGTGGAAAAAGAGTGGTATTTTTGGTGATCTAATTTAGAAAGTTTTGTTCTTGTAATAATAATTGGACTTTAAGAATTGAATGCTTGCAGGTCTAATAAATAGAATTGAGAAATAGAAAAGATATTAGCTGTAAAATAAAGCAACCTTTGATTGAAAACTGGACCATACTGTTATCTATGTATGATTGCATTGACCTGCCTCTAACCTTATTGGGTCCCATAAGAATTAAATGCACTGCATAAACATTGGTTGATCTGTCACAATCCTTCATAATCCTACTTTTTCAATTTTATATGTCAGTGTTACAAGTTAAATCAATCCACAGCATACACCTTTTTTTGGTACCTCATTACAGAGCATAGACTCTGTTATCTTGTTAAAAATGGAAATACTTGTTAACGAATTAATAAGTAATATTTTTATTATAAATTATAATAAAGCATGAAATTAAGTACTATTATGATGCTGTGTTAAAAATAAGAATAAGGAAAAATAAATTTAAAAAATAAAAAATAATATATATATATATATATATATATTTGTATGAATCATTATTTATAAGAGGCATCACATCTCTGTTTAAAACTTTACATGAAAAATAGAAACAGAAAAATAATATTAAAAATAGTATAAGATATTATAAAATATTTTAAATACAAGGAAGATATTATTTAATATTTTTATATATTTTAACAGAAAAAGATAATTTTTTAAAATTTATCTCTTTTAATTTAAATTTCAAAGTTTTTCTTTTTTCTTGTTTTGTACTCTTTCTAATTTTTGAATGAAAAATTATCAACTTTTTTAATTATAAGAAATAAAAGCTTATTTTAAATCTATGAATTGATAATTTTTTATCTTTATTTATTGTAAAATTTATGTTAATAAAACATTTCATTCATTTTTATATAAATTAATATATTTTTATTTAATATATAAGTCACTCATTTAATTATTTAATATTATAAATATTTTTAAAATATAATATATATTTATGACAGAAAAACCGTTTCTAATAATTTTATTTGATTAATTTTTATTTCTTATACAATGATTGATAATTATAAATATATTTAATGACTAAAATTGTTACTAAATTTTGTTATATTTTTTTTATCATTCTCTTACTATTTTAATAGCTTTGATTTTTTATTTTTATTTTTTAATAAGATGGTATCGATCACATCAATAAACGCTTCCTTTTCTTTGTTATTTAAGGTAAATTTTTAAAAATTAAATAATGTCTTAATTTGCATAAAATTATTATTTAATTTTTAATTTTATTTTTTAATTAATTAAATTATAAATTTATTAATAATTAGTAAAGTGTAAAAATATAATAATACTAATAATAATAATAATAATAATTCAAACGTGTAAACAATGATACATATTAAGGAATAAGAAATATTAATGATTAATATTATTTTTGATAAAAATTTATCATACATTATGTTATTATTATATTCTCTTGTGCACAGATTAAAAAATTTACAAGATAAAAGTAATAAATCCTACCTTGATTTTTTAAAATAATAAATAAATGTAAAGATTTTTTAATAGGTGACTTATAAAAAGGAATAGAGGAAGTTAAAGTTTGTAGAAGTAGTTAATGTACTAGCTTTTGAAAAATTGATAACATTTCAAGTTTTTTCTCTTAAATAAAGTCAAACTCTATTATTATATTGATTGTTAATTGGTTTACTAAAGCGGGGACCAATAAGTAAAAATGAATGCTCCTAAAATTTTGTAACAATTCTTGTAAAAAGGATAATATATATATATATATATATATATATATATATAATGAGAGTTAAACAAAAAGTACATGTAATATATAAAAATATTTATTATTTTCTTTAATTAATAATTAATATAATTTGAAGCATAAAAAGTAAAATTATTTAAATTTATAATTTTAATCTATAAGACTGAGTTAAAATAACTTTGATAATAGAATTTTTAAAAATAAAATATTTTATTACATTAAAAACATTAAAGTGTGATAAATATTTTAATTTTAATTTATGCAATATTATACATGATAATAAATTATATATGAATTTTTTTACTAAAAATTACATAATTCAATAGAATTGAATACATTAACAGTTTTATATTATATTTTTTTATGAAAAATATCATATATAAATTTTTATCCTGTAAAATATTATACAAATTTAAAAAAAAAAAACTCATAAAAATACCCATCATCTAAAATATTATACAAATTAAAAATATTCAACTGCCACCTAATTTTGTCTTGATGTTGTTATTTCATTTTATAGTAACTTGAGTTATACTTAAGGCAAATTGATGGCACCTTCTCCCATAAATAGCATTAGTATCTATCACAGTTCTGTGGTGTCTGCACCCTGCACCCAATACCTCTTTTGGCAGCACCAATTTGGTGAGACCAATTAGTGGAATGGGAAAAGGGTACACAGTGTGCCTCTTCATCATTGAAATCTTGCTACATTTTTCCATATCAAGCAGTGGTAAAGTTCCTGCAATTATAGTCTTTGGAGACTCTTCTGTAGACTCAGGTAACAACAATTTCATTCCAACCATTGCAAGGAGCAACTTTGAGCCATATGGTCGTGACTTTTTCAATGGAAATCCCACTGGAAGGTTCTCCAATGGTCGCATTCCCCCTGATTTCATCTCTGAAGCCTTTGGCCTTAAGCCAACAGTTCCTGCTTACTTAGATCCAGCTTTTAACATTTCTGATTTTGCCACTGGTGTTTGCTTTGCTTCTGCTGGAACTGGATTTGACAATGCTACTTCTAATGTTGCTGTAAGTGTTACACCCTGCTGCATATTTTAATTATTTCTAATTTTTGTGTTAATAGATTTGCTAATGTGTTTAAAACACACACTTGTTGCTGTTTGAGTAGTTCTTCTTGCCATGCATTTTTATTAATGATAATTCTTGCATGGAGTAATTTAGGATCTGGTTTGAAAAACATAAAATATGTTTCTTGGGTTTTTGGATGATCATAAATGTGCTAATTGGTTTTACTTTGTTTTTTAAATTTTAAAGAATACATTAAGGATGATATTTTGTTAATTTTTACTACTTTTATTTAAATATTTGAAAATAAAAAATGATATTTTCGTAATGATTTGTAAAATAAAAGAAATTGTTTTCTTAGATCAGACAAAACTTACCTTTTTCATTACCGTTTTAAGTTAAATTAGGATGACAGTGGCAGATTTTTTCAGTGACAAGAGAGTACGGTTGTCCTAAACTCTAGTAGTCTTTTATATTTATGTGTATATATTATAAATGAATACTTAGATTGGTCTTTAATAAATTTAGTGTAAAACACATTAGTATATAATGATATAAAAAAATTCACAATTATTCTTAAAATTCACAAGTACAGTCCTTTTTAGTGATTTCTAATGTGATACATTTGTCCTTGAAAAAATTATTATGATTTATATTTATAATTTTAAGAGGCTAAAACTTTTTTTTTTTAATAAATGATTGTTTAAAAAATTCACAATTATTCTTAAAATTCACAAGCACACTACTTTAAGAAATGGTCCTTGAAATTATTATTTTTTTTGTATTTTAAGAGATTAAAAAAAACGATGAGAGAAAGAAGTTTGAATTAACAAGAATATAAACATGAAAATTTTAGAATTTTGTTTTAAATGTCAAATTTTCTTTCACCTCCTCTTTATTTTTTAACTTAATAAACAATAAATCATCAATTGTATTTTTTTCTCTCATTGAAAGGCAAACCATTACTGTTATTTTAACATTGACTCCTCTTATATATAAAATAAAATAATTTGCAAAATTTTTACTCCTCTAAAATTTGTGTTCAAGATCCACCAATATATTTGTTTGGAGAAAAAAATTAGAAAATATGGCAACTATACCATTTCTTTAATTTACCTTAGATTATTCTAACTTGTAATGAAATCATTAGCCTCAGTCTAATTAATTGCTTAGATGAAACTAAAATCTTATTATTACTAATTACTCAAATTCATTCCTAAGAACTTATGCTAATACTTTTTTAATTTTATTTCTACTACTAAATTAAACCCATCAATTTATATTTTACAGGATGTAATTCCTCTATGGAAAGAAGTTGAGTACTACAAGGAGTATCAAAAGAAATTAAGGGCACATCTTGGTAATGAGAAGGCTAATGAAATAATAAGAGAGGCTTTGTATTTGGTTAGCATAGGAACCAATGACTTTCTAGAGAACTATTATACACTGTCTGAAAGAAGGTGCCAGTTCACTAAAGTTGAAGAGTATGAGGATTTTCTGATTGGGTTAGCTGAAAACTTCTTCAAGGAGATTTATGAGCTTGGAGCAAGGAAAATTTCTCTGACAGGGTTGCCTCCTATGGGGTGTTTGCCACTGGAAAGGGCCATAAACATTTTGGAGTACCATGATTGTGTTGAAGGGTACAATGATGTGGCTTTGGAATTCAATGGAAAGTTGGAGTGGTTAGTGAAAAAGTTGAACAAGGACCTTCCTGGATTTCAAATTGTTGATGCAAATGCATATACTCTAATCCTGCAAATTATTGCACAACCTTCTCGTTTTGGTGAGTTTATGTAGTCACCATTAATTGCTTTTATATATATATATATATATATATATATATGGCGAAAGATCTTCTTACACCAATATAAATCTAAAAACTCTTACACCTTATTTAAATTTTTCATTTAACTTATATCTAACGATTTATAATTGATTATTTCACTGGTCGTTAGATGTAGTTAAATGAAAGGTTTAAATTGAGTGTAAGAGTTTTTAAACTTACACTAGTGTAAGAAAATCTTGCCTCTCTCTATATATATGAAGAAATTTTTTTTTACACTGGTATAAGATTAAAAACTCGTACACTCGATATGAGTTTTTCATTTAACTTACATCTAACAGTTAGATAAAAGGTTCAGATCGAGTATAAGAGTTTTTAGACTAGTGCATTTACACTAGTGTGAGAATATATATATATATATATATAACTTTGTTTTATCTTCTAATTTTTAAAATAATCTTTTTATCATTTCATAAAAATAATATTCAATAATATATATTAAATATTTTAAAATAAAGCTTTCAAGATTTTATTTGTTTAATAATAAACATTATAGATAAAAGACATGTAATTTTTTTATTATTTTAGAAAGTAGACATCAAATACAAAAATCCATGCATTTATTATTAAAAAATATAAAAATATTTTATAATTTTTTCATTTATTGGTTAAGAGAATTTATTGACATAAAAGATAAATTAATTTTTATACGTCATCTTCATATTTTGTCTTAAAATATCTCTTTTAAACTGTCGTTATTTTATTTATTGTTCCTTAACTTTAATAAGCTCATTATTTGATAGGTGAAGAAAGAAGGTGATATAGTAGTTAGTTTGAAGTAATTATTTATAATGTTATTTTTATTCTATTTATAAAAAAATAACTATAAATTTTTGTACTCCAAATATAAGAAATAAAGAATGTTTTCAAATACATTATTTTTAAAGTTTTTTTTATATCTTTATTTATTTAAAGATTTATTTTGACGAGATATTTTATCTTTATATGTAAAACTAAATACATTTATTTATTTAATATATGGTAAATCAGTTTTACCATTTAATACTATGAGTGTTTCTAAATTTAAATATAAATTTATGATATATAACTACTTGTTATTGGTATTAATAAATTAAGTATTATTTTTTATTACAATTTATCTATCATATGCTAACTTGCGGTTAAATTTTATTAATAATGCACTTCAAACCAATTAAAAAGATAAAAACTAAATAACTTGTGTAAGTTTGCCTATGATGAATAAATCGTTCTTATAATTAGAATAGTAAGTAATACTATTTTTATTTATCTCTTTAAATAGATAGCAAATTATACAAATTAAATAATTTAATCACTTTGTTAGAATTATTCGGTAAAATTTCTTACATACCTTTTAGAACTTTGTTATATCTTCTTACTTATTCTTGTAATATTTCTATTATTGTTTTATGAAGTGGGTGTTAAATAAAATTATAATTTATTTATTATTATAAAAATATAAAACATGTTTACTCTTTTTTATAAGAACATTTAGAGAGTTTTGTTAGTCTTCAATACGAGATACTTTATAAAGTTGTAGAAACATTTATTATGAGATACTTTTCATAATAATAATTATTATTATCTTTGATATTATTTATAAGAAATAAATATTAATATCTTTTTAATTGTTAAATTTTTTATACTTTTTTATTATAAAATTTGTCTGAACCAAATACTCACTTATTTTTTTAATAAAAAGTTACTACTTTTAACTGCTTAAATTTTAACATTTTCTTAAATTTTATTTAGCTACATGCCTCACTTTCTTCTTATTCTTTTTACTACTATTAAAACCATTATGTAATGGTTAAATTAAACAGTAATTTTGAATTAGCAGGTTTTGAGGAAGCAGGAAGAGGATGCTGTGGAACAGGGAGATTTGAAATGGGATTTTTGTGTGACCCAAAGAGCCCATTTACTTGCAAAGATGCAAATAAATATGTGTTTTGGGATGCCTTTCACCCCTCAGAAAAAACAAGTCAGATAGTCTCAAATTATTTAATAGAAAAACATTTAGCAAAGTTCCGTTGATTTAAGTACAACCAACATATTCATGTAATACATTTTTATATTTATGTAATATTTTTATATAATAAACTCTCATGTTTATCATTAAATTGTAAAAAAAAACTGTGTCTGTCTCTCCTACTTAGTGTGTTAAATCTTAATTAACCTTTCTTTTGCTAAATTTGATACAGAAAAAATAATAGCATATAAAAGTTAGATGAATATATTACAAGATAGGGTAAACTCTGATCAAATAATATTATGTCATCTTATTTAATGTTTTAAATGAAAAAAATTTAAATTATATTTAATAAAAAGATTACTCTTTTTATCAAAATTAATATACTTTCTAAAATATTTTTTAATTTAACTTCTTGACTTTTAAAATATATATATACATATTAATTTTTGTGTAAAAATAATATTAAAAATTTGATATTTAATTATCATAATTTTTTAATTAAAATTTATTATTGATGAAAATCATGTGGATTTTATTCTTTCAAATTTCTAAATTAATGATTTTTGTAGTTTTTAATAAATTTTAGTCATAGTAGAGTATGTGTTTCTAGCATTATTTTTTTTAGAATTTTGAAATTCTCCATCGGAGAACAACTTAAAAGTATAATTATTTTTTAAAAATTAAAAATGTACTAGTTTAAATGTGTAAACTCAACTTGTAAATCTATAATTAATAAAACTAAAAAGCAAAAAAAAAAATAAAAAATCTCAAGAAATATATTTTATATCCTGATTGAGATGGTATTGGTCTGTGTTTCATTGGACTACCAAAGTATGATGGATGGCACTGCTTTTGCATCCGTTTGCCCTTTTTATAACCATAATTAGTTGGCCAGTTAAAAGAAAAGAAATAAAAAGAAAATATCTCCATTTGTGTCCTTATGGGAAAAAAAATATCAGTTTGTTATTTGAATTACCAAAGATCTCTGTAAATGATATTGTGTGCCATTATTTCTATTTTTCATTTACTTTTTTTTTATCTTTTAATATATATGCATTTCAAAAATACACTCCAAAAGAGTTATCTCACTTAAATGATATATTAAACATTTTCTTACTGCATATGGTTATTTTCTTTCTTATTTAGAAATTTCCCTCTAGAAGCTTTTGGAAGAGGTGTTGCTTTTTAATGCAATACTACATGCCATGGTAGTTTAACTTTAGTCTGACTGATGTAAGTTAGATTCATTGGAATTTGGAAGATTAATTGATTAGTATAGTTTATTTGATTATTAAGTCTTATTTGTTATAGTGACATGATTCTAGACATAAAAGATACTGTACTATCCTTAATATAGAACACATATAATTTTAAAAATGTTAATAGACAGGTGTGAAATTAGATAAGAAATGAATGCACAACAACTTTTCCAAGTCTTCTGTTCCTATTCAAGTGCTGATAGTGTTTGTGGGTGATCCTTTTTTCTGAAGTTTGTGTTTGGCACTTGGAAGCGTAACTCTACTTCACTCAACTAAAGTGTAACACTTTTACTCTATGTATGTGTGGTTTGAAGCGTTTTCCTGTGGAAAAGTAACTCTGGAACTGTGCAAATAAATGTTGTTGAGGCCAGAGGAAAAAATTGGGAATATACTTATCTTTTGGCATACATATCTTGCATAAATACCTTTTGTTCAATCACACTAGAATCATATCCTATGTTCATCATCTGCCACCTTTTCCTTCTGCTATGTTCTCCATTCTTTGCATTAACAGAATTCTGAATTGTTTCATTGATTACATTCCTTTATACCTTCATTGTTGCTTTTAAGTATTAACCCAACTTCCTTCAATCTAGATCCTATCTATTTTATTTTTCTTTCATATTCATTGGGATTCTCCTTTTTATTTCCAATTCAATTTGCTACTAGCTTGCCTATTTATGCAAGATATGAGTTGGGTTGTGAAAGGTATACAGAATTGTTGAGAGAACTTCCTAAAAATTGTGAGGTTTGAGGCAGATAATTGGAAACGAAATAATCTCTTACGAGATAAGAAGAAGAAACAATACATAAAGACAACGAAAAGGAAGACAAGGTGGTAGTAGTTCTTTAGAATAACTCTAAATCTTTTTAAATATTCTCTTTAAAATTATTTTAATTATTAAATGAAGAATATATAAACATGACTTGTTTCTAAGATATGAAAGAAAAATTAAAGTGAAGTAAACCTCTTTTTTTTTTTTTCGTTGCTGTTTACTTTTGAGAAAAAAATTTCTAAATGACTTGGTCAAAAGAAAGTTGCAAGTCATCTATTAGGTTGGTCTAGGGTGTGTGTAATTTTGAATAACTTGAGAAGCTTTGAAATATTAGAAGTTCAAACCAACAGAAAGAAAAGTAGCTATTGTTGAAAGAAATGATAGCATTAGCAAAAAGTAGTTGTAAGAAATATCAATAGTTATTGTGTCTTGAGCAGAAACAGCCTTTTAACCAAAGTTTTAGAAACTTCTACTAAGATATAAAAAGAAAAACTTCTACTAAGATATAAAAAGAAAAGGAAAAAAAAAAGTTGTGACACAATTATTATTAAAGTTTTGCTGTATGTTTTTTTTTTTATCTCTTGGAGCAAACTTGTTATTTCCAGTTTGAAGGGTTAAGGTGGCTAACGATGTACAAAATGGTGGTGTTATCAACAACGCTTGCAAAATAGGTCCTACTATAAGCACTTCACCAAAGAGAACTACCTCCACGTGAAGAGAGAAAAGCATTCAAAGTTTTGAATCCTCAAGAATCTCAATTAATCAAAACATGGGTATGACTTATTTTTTGCCCTAAGGATGAATTCAGTACCGATCCCTTCACCTATTCACTGTAATCCATGGTCAATGGTGGCATGGTGCTTCAGATTCTAATATTTAGAAGCTAAATTTGATTAACGGGCATTTTAGTCTTTTAAAATATTCAACACCGTTAAAATTAATTAATTATTAAAATGGATGAAAAGTAAAATTATAAAGATTTACGCTCAATTATGATGCAATATACTTAATTTAATTTAAGTTAAAAAGATGAAAAGTATAAATAAACTAATAATTTATGAGTACATAGCTTTTTGCATACCGCTGAATTATATATGTATGTACTATGATCACAAACCTATTCCTTTAACATACCAATCTTAAAATTTATATTTTGTCGAAAATGGTTGGATAACAGTTTAACTAAATATTTATTTAGTAAATTTTTATTTTCATTATTCTTTGTTTTGTTATTTAAATTTTAAGTTGGTTGATTTAGATTATCAACATCACATCATGAATAATAAAGGGAGTACCATACAAGAGATTTATATTATAAATTAGACTATAAAATTTATTAAAATAAGTTGAGAAGAATTTATTTTGATAAAATATATAAAAGAAAAACTTAATAAAATTAATTTTAAAAAATATAAATATCATAAACTATTTTCATAAACTTTCTTTAAACTTTTTAAATGCGATACAAGATGTATACAAATACAAATGCCTTCTTTAGGTGATTGCGATGCCTAATTATTTCCTAGCTAGTGCAAGAAACAAATGACACATACAACCTAGGCACAATAGTTAGTAGGAATCATGCACACAGTTTGACTGAATTATATATATATAGTTGTTAGATCGTTCATTTGTCCCTTCAATTCAATTAGGTTAAGTACTTATGGTAGGTTTGATTGAATTAAGTTTAGACAACTATTAGAGGATGACCATGACCATGCAATTAACTCATGAAGAAGTAAGGTGAAACATGGAAAGCTAGGAACTTTGAAATGGTGTTGCTGGTAGAGCCTTTGTGTTATGTTTAGTTTTGGCCTTGCAATTTTAAAATATTTATTACCACACCCTATTTAGGATTATTTATTTTATTATTATTATTAATAATTTAATTAACTAATAAAAGAGTATTTTATATAAAATTTATTTAAAAAATTGTGATAATAAACATTTTAAGATGACAAATGTGCATTGAAGTTTCTACAAAGTGTTGGGTCCCAACTTTCAATTTGGTGACTTTGTAGATGCACCTATTTATGGTTTAATTTTATTTAGATGAGTAATTTCAGTAATCCATGACCTTGGTATGATTTAGATGATATTTTTTATAAATAAAACAAAAAAAATTTGAAAATTCAAACACATCCTTTGATAAAAACTCTCAAAATATATATGTTTTTAATATATAAGATACACAAGATAAAACAACTTGTAACATATGTTCATAAGTCGCATTATCCTACTATAATCAATACACGAGCACAAGGTATGCTTATAAACAAAACGTGTTCAAATGAGTGATTTATGTATTAGCACAACTGTGTTTAACTTAAGCACAATTGTGTTAATAAGTAAACAGAATATAAAATTAAGGTTTTTTATAATTTATGTTAATATGAGCTTGCTTAGTTTAATATAAAATGTGTTAAAATTTTTAGTCTTAAACTTTGATTGAGTATAACTTTTATACAAAACATAAATTTATAAAAATTATATATCTATTTCATATAACTTTTTAAAATTTATTTAATTAAATACTTAAATAGAGTTCAAATAATTTTTTATTAAAAAAATCATCATTTTATTAATTTTTCTAATTTTTATTGTATTTTTCAATGATTTTTACATTTTTTTCTTCATCATTTTTTAGAAAACAAGTGTATTTTAGTTTAATTTTTTTTTTGGTTACTTGATTGTGTAATAATAAGTTATTAAAAGTAATGACTCAATATTAATTAAGATTTAATTATATATTTTTTACTATTAAAAAATTAGTCAATATTAAAATTCATTATAAATATCCTTTCTTTATTAGTGTGAAAGTTTTAAAAAAAATTTGATTGAATAAATCTCAAAAAATTAATCGATATTAAAAATCATTATTAAAGAATTGCACACTTTATATTAACTTAAGTATAACTGTGCTAGAAAAAGAGGACATATTTTATTTTATTTTATTAAAATGATATATTTGAAGTTTTAAATTTTTTTCATTTTAATTATACAAAAATCCTGATTTCGTTTGTCAGACATTTCTTTTGGTAGGAAATTTATGAGTTTCAGTAATTTGTATGCTCTCTTTAATGAATTCAAGTTTAATTGATCTAAATTCATGAGAATGTTCGTCCTTGATGAACTTGGTAAAATGATATCATGTTAAACTTTCAATGATATTTTTATTTTATTTTATTTTAAACTCTTAGTATTTGAAAATCTCATTAATTTCATTGAAAAATGTATTTTTTTTAATTACAAAACTTGAATCTAATAAAATTTTACTAAAACAAAACCAAATTTAACAATTACACTTTTTTAATTCCTTTTTATTTGATTAATGGTTGAAATACCATTGTTACATTTTTTATTTTATAAAATCACATATTTTATAGTTAAATAATTTTTATATATTACGATAAAAGTTTTTTAAACTAATATAATTTTATAAATTTTTATATATAAAATTTATCAATACAACATATTTAAAGTTGTATGGGATATCCATCTTTAAATATAACTGTGTATCGAGATAATTAATTTCTCACTTATAAGATGAAGTAAAAATTCTTTAAAAAAAAAAACAACAAAAAATGTGATGTATTAGTGTGGATCCATGCCTAATCTTCAAAGACAACAGTCAACTAAACTATATAAATTAATAAATCAAGGCAACGTTTTATTGAACCAATACTCAATGGGAAAGGGATATAAATGACAAGATACTAGTCAAGTTTAGGTTTTACAACAAAACATAGTAAAACCAGCAAAGTTCTGCATATACGTATACATTCAAGAAAAAAAAGTCAGAATGATGACAACTGTAACCTGTATATGTTCATACAATATATATATATATATATGTAACATCTATATACCGAAGCTACTCACTCCAACCTAAGAAAAGTAGGGTGGTACATATGTTTCTGTACAATCAAAGACTGTGGATGGATCAATAGCAAACTGAACCACAGATCTTAGCTCATCCCAATTCTCATTGGCAAATGCATAATCTTCAACATTCTGATTCCACAAACTGGGGTAAGGCATATTTGATGGAGCCTGATGATGAGGTACTGAACCAAACTGACCTAAAAATAAGTGTTTATTATTGTCATCAACCTGTCCAATAACCGGTTTCCTTTCAATTTGTTGCATCACTAATGGGTCTCTACAAATCAAATATGGCTTGCAATTGTCAGAATCTAAGGTGCATGGGTTTGGTTTGGTGACTGGTGTAGAATCTTTCAAATTTGGAGTGTACTTTTTGTAGGATGGGGTGCGTTTGAATATCCTGCATAGTGTCCACACCTCCTGCAAACAAATAAAGGACATACAGACAGTAAACATTAATGGTTGCTCGTGAAGAAGGACCAATATTAAGTTGAATTGACTGTATCGTTTTTATTTTTCATGTAGCTTTGTGCTATAACAATTTCGTATTTTTATTTTATTTGTTTTAGCTGAATTCAATAAACTAGTTAGTATAATTCACACTTTAATTTATTTAGCTAAATTTTTATAACTAAATATATGTCATAAGTTTTTATATGATAAAGGTAAGATGACAAATATATATTAATTAATATCCTAAAGATAGTAATTAAAAAAAAACCCAAGAAAAATATTTCAATCATAATTTCTAAAACAATTTACTATAATTTTGAATCAAAGTTTTATCTTTTTTGTTTTTAATTGAGACCCATTAACAATAATTATATAAAAATTTCAAGAACATGTTAAAGCCACGTAAAAGTTCAAATCCATTCCCAGAGAGTGGGCATGCTTAATAATAATAATAATAAAGGGTGATTGCATGTGTTGTGTATCACGACAATCCGTTCAACCAAAATGTCAGTATTCAACGGGGTTGACTTGGCCATATTCATAAAGTTCATAACATGGGACCGAAGAAGAAATAAATGCAATTCTTTAATTTCACATTGAGAACCACAAGAGACCCTTGAAGTATACCGTAAGCAATATACCAGAAATTTTCCTTTATCTGTTTTATTTAGAGAACTTCTAAATCATCTGCATTTGACTATTATAAACTGATGGGTAAACTTTACTGAACTTAAATAATATATGTATAATATTTTAATTTTCATTAATGGTTTAACAACACTATTTTCTTTTTGAAATATAGGATTTCGATAAACACACCTTTTAGTTTAGAGTCAAATTCATTGGATGCTACTTATCATGTGATTTTCATTGGGACACTTTTATTTCTGACGGCAGCTCCAAGTTTTGCTTTTTTCTTTGGGATGAAATTACTTTGGTATCCATGTCCTTTATTTTCCCCTAATTATGTTTTTAGTTGGCAGTTGCTAATCATACTTTACAGACATCAAGTATTTAAGAAAAACTTTTAAAAAATTAATTTACGTTATTCAAAATTTTAGTATTCAAAAAAGAACTGGGTGATATATACAAAATCCACTTCACAAGTTTTAATTTAGTGCTGTATAGATCATAACAGATAAAATATTATACTTTCCTATTGTTTGAAAGATTTTGGAAAAAGTAGAAATTATATTTCCTTAATGCTTGCTATCACCTATTTCTTCTATTTTGAGTCTATTTGTTCTTTCAATTGAAAATAATAATAATAATAATAATAATAATAATAATAATAATAATAATAAAGATAAGATAAAACATTACCATTGGAAATGGTACAGTAATTAAGAAAATTTTTTCATTTAAGAGTTATCTTTCAATTAAATGTATAAGAATAAGACTGATAAAGAAACGCATAATTTGATTCCTTCTCAATATAGCCTCTTAACCAGTAACCTAGCTATGTGTAGGGATAGTGATTCAAAAATGATATTTTTGTTCTTACATATTTAGTTCAAAAGATGAAAAAGAAGGAGAAAGAAAGTATGATAATTTATAATTATTCATTTATAATAAATAAATAGAGTTGTCAAATTGAAGATAACTTGATTCAACTACTCCAAAAACTTCTTTTTCTTCTAAATTTCCCATGTATGAAGGGAAACAAAAATAGGAGGGAGAGATTATTTCCCCTCCTCTCCCTTTCTAACATTTAAATTAAACAATATGCTATTTTTAAAATAATCTTCACCTTCCACTTTTTTTTTTCAACAAAAAATTTTATTAAAAAAATTATTTTATAGTAATTCTTTTACATAACTAAGAAAATGACCTACATTAATAGACTTAACTATTTAAATTGTTCAAATATGTAATTGTGAGATATCATAATAAAAATTCAAAAATAAGAAATGTTATCATTATAGTATTTATATTTAATTAAGTGTAATAGTTTATTAGGCCTAAAGGACTATTTAGATAATTATCCTAAAGCGTTAGGTAGTGTTTAGCTTGGTTTTGTCTTTAAAAAGCAGAAATTATATCAAACATAACTTTAAAAAAGGATTTAAAAACAAAAACAACTTTTTTAATAAACAAACCAAAAGATAAAGCTTCGATAATGACAATGTAGAAAAATCAAACACTATTGACTAATATAATATAATTAATAGACTTGTTTAACGATAATTTTTTGAAATTCTAACTTAATTCACACGCTATAAAGATTTTCAGACAAAATTTTCATGCATGTGGAGGTCAATTGTTTACATATATCCAATAGTTCTTAAGAAAGACCGAAGTCAAAACTTCTGATAAATAAAAAAAAGCTATTAATACCCTCTGTTGTTAGTTTTTGTCGGTAAAGAAGTGGTTTCAGTGCGTTTCTTTATAATTTTCCCTCATAATATGGGCTATGATAATAGTACCCTTCTAGAATCTTATTTCTTTAACATATAATGGTAAACTTATAGTAAGTTGAATATGAACAGAATTCTGACCAAGGATCTCAGCAATTGTCATCATTTACTCCTACATATGCTTCTAGATAGCGTGTGTTTTTAACTTTTGAACATAACAGGTAAAGTGTAATGAAATAAGGGAATGTATCTAGTAATACATCATCAATGAAAAGGAGTTAATTTTAATTATATAAACATACATAAATTATTTCATTTAAATATAATTTAACCACACAGTTTTAGTAGAAAAGTAAAAACATAACATTTCTGAAATGTGTTAGAAGAAGCACTGTATATGTTACGTAAACAATGATGAAATGAGATAATATGTTTGACTTACAGCTTCTTGAAGGTCATTGGTAGCATTAGGAAGTGGATTATTGTTGTTGGAATTTGCATTGGGTGGAAGGCGAAACTCATGCATCATCCAGTCAGTTTTGGTGCCTTTCCCAGCACTTCCACGGTAGTAAACCAAAGACTTCTTGAGGCCAATGCATTCATGTGGTTCTTTCACACAATATATGGACTTGTCAATTCCTGTGGCTTTCCAGAACCCAGACCTTGTTACCCTGTTTGGCCTTACACTGTTCCTGTACTTTCTCCCCCTTATGCAAAAAAAATACCACTCTTTGTCCCCAAAGGAATTCACTTCTTCATGTGTTACCATAAAATAACAAATTCAAAAACCGTTACTTAATTATAATTATATATGTTTCATAAAAATTCAAATTATAGGGTCTTATAGCTATAGCTAAATCTAGAAACCTGAGGCATACATATGACATATCAAACATATCAAGTCTTAATTTATCTTCTAGCTTTTCTAATTTGTTAGCATATTGCATGACACAGTATTGAAACTTGGAAGTTCTTTACATAAGATCTCTCCAAGCAATTCAAATAGAAACTGAATCTGAACTAGCAGTATTCTCTCTCTCTCTCTCTCTTTCTTTTTTAATGATATATGATAATTAACTTCTGGTATAAGATCAGCACATACATGGAAAAGCTTATTCCTTAATAGATAATCAACTTTGTTTTTCAAAAGAGCCTTTTCTTGAAAGTGGCAAAAAGAAAAGCAAAACTGAACTACTAAACATTATGTTAGATTCCTTTCTCTTGTCATAGCATGTTCTTTTGTTTTGTATTTTTTTTTTTCAGCTTAGTCATGCTAACTGCTGTATTGTTATCATCAAATAACACAAGTCCTTGATTATTGGTATCAATCATATATCATAAGAAATTTAATCGCAGAAGCATAGCAACATACTATAGTTCCACTAGAAATACAAAATAAGTACTTACAAGTGGAACTTAAGTGGAAGCAGATCTTACTTGGAAGATCCCATGGATCATATTTGTAGATATCAACCTGTTTGATGAGTTCAATTCGAAGAGGTTTCTTTTCCACCTTTCTTTGAAGATAAAACCCGACAAGCTCTTCATCTGTGGGGTGGAATCTAAACCCAGGAAGCACAACTTCTTCATCCTTGTTATCCGCAGAGCCATGTTGATGATGTACCTTTACCTTAGCCACATCCATTTATTTTTTCACTTCTATTATGCAACACTTGTTTTCCAACCACGCCAAAGTTTTATAAACTAGAAGGAAGGTTCGAATAATGTGTAAAAAAATCTCTCTTTTCCATATATTTATATAAATTTTATGATATTTTTTCGTCTCATTGTGTGTTGAAAATTGGCAACTAGAGTCAAGTCAAACATTTAGATTGTGAAATATATATGTATGTATATGCAAAGGAAAATTAAGAAGGTCCCAACGCTGAAAAGTGTATGAACCACACTAGGACATGTCGATTTTTCTAGGGTGGGGGTGTTTGGTGATGCATGGGGTGGTCCTCACTATATAATTATTATTAATGGTTAATTAACCATTGATGGTGAAAAGGGAATGACATGAGAATTTTTGAACCCTAGTGAGGTTTCATTGCCACTATATGGGAAAGTCAAGAAGAGGGGGGGCACCATTTTGACTATTAGACATATGAATGGAATAAATGCAAACGATGGACACTGTCAATTATGGGAAAAAGTCAAAAGAATATTTCAAAGGCATCAATACTGTTGCAGAAAATTTCCAGGGCTTTCTCACATAAGCTAAAATAAAATACACCTTCTGTCTCTCTAAAAACTAGGTTTTTTTTACTCAATTTTTACAATTTTAAAGTAAAATTGTTTTTTTAATTTTATCCTTAAAATAAAATTTATTTTTCTCTTTTCTATTTATATATTACATAATAAATTATAAAAAAATTATAATACTTTTAATAAAAATAAAATAATTAAATATATTTTTAAATTTTTGTATCATAATTTTAAACAATTATTTTTAAAGAAATATTTTAAAAAAAGGATTCATGCCTTAATATTGTCGACCAAATTGATCCTCGTAAAGAGTGTCATAATGCGTAGTATAATCATTCTTACTCAGTTACTTGCCATGGCAATCATTATTCAATTAGTTTAATTCCATAGAAAGTTTGAGATTTTTATTGGCTCTCTTAGCAGTTTTTGAGAATCCATTTACATATGCTTTAAAAATTTCAACTGCTTTAATTTTATTTTTCTTGTTTCATAATTCACTGACTATTAGTCTATACTTTTGAACGCTCCATTATTGCATAGCATCTTCCTAAAAGAATGTATTTGAGAGTTGGATTTTAAAAGAGAAAGAATGAGAGCGTAAATATTTTATTTTAAATTCATAAAATTATATAATATTTATGAAAACAAATAATAAATTAATTTTTAAGTTTATATTATTTTTTGTAAAATTATCAAACAAAAAATATTAATCACTGCATTTCTTTTATAAAAATCAACTTTTTAATATATCTTAAATGTTTTTCGTTTATCATAATAGTACTAAAATTATAATTAAAATTAAAGCATTATTAGTATAAGTTTTTATATATCAGTTAGTCTTTTTTTATGATAAAGATAATTCTACTTGAGACATAATTAAATATTAAGTGTAAACATCTCTTTTAATGAAAATAGGAACCGTAGTTCATCATTACGTAAACAACTTACCCCATTAGCTGGACCCTATCTCCATTGGTCATTTAATTGTGTTGACACATCATATAATTTGTTTGATTATATTACACACTACATGTCAAATTGATTTATTTAATGATATGACATTATATTATTATTATGTATAAGTTAAAAAAATTACATTTATAATATACATCAAAGTCAATTTCTTAGAAAATTTGTCAAATATTTTTTGTTGTTGATTCCCAAGATAATGCTCGGAAAATGTTCAACAACCAATAACTATTTAGGAGACCAATAGAAAAATAAGATGGAAAACAAAGTAATATGTATCTAACAACTCTTTTCAATTTCCAAAGGACAATAATATGCTTTTCGGTTTTCATATTTTTGTTGAAACAATTGGTTCTAATTTGAATTATTTTTCTTTTATAAATGGCTCCAATAATGGCAAACTAGATATTTTCCTTTCAACCTTCTCATTCCAAGTATAATTTACTTTTCTTTTTATAAATATAAGATACATTTACTTACATAATGTATTAGTATAATATAACATATATTGTCAATTTTAGCGACTTAAATAACAAAATTAATAGAATTACGACAGTGGCACTAAAAAAAGTGACATTTACTAACACTTTAATGTTGGATTAGTTCCCATTAGTGTAGATTATACTAACAAAAATTGAATTGCTTGTATAAATACTTTGAGTTTGTAATGATAATATGATATATCATAATAACAAATAATTTTATTACTATAGAGCATTAAATCATTAATATACACAATTAATACCTAAACATTAGTATAGTACATTATTAGACAAAATCTATACAAACAAAGACTTGATAATTTTTGTGTTAGTAATTAAATGGAATATTTTTGAAATGTGGAAACTGAGTTTTATGGGGGTAGATTTTATCTGCATGTAAGAGTTTAAATTTATTAACAGTAGAGACAAGACAATGCTATCAAGCTGTTGAGAAACAAGCGTACACTAGCAAAGTTAATTAGGTATAATTAAGTCATCAAGGAAAAACATGTGATTAGAGTGGGCAGCAGTTTTGTAATTACTATTGTGATTAATAAGTCAAATTTTGATTATAGGTATCATTATATGAAAGGAAAAAAATTATAAAAAGAAAAAAAATTAGTTGAAGCATAAATATTTAAAGATTCCACAATATGTTTTCTTTTGTGTGTTATGGATGAGGGAGGGATTCAAGTCTATGTCTTTATATTTTATTGAAAAATATATAAAACATGTATACGAATTTGTCAAATTTTCAAAATGTAATTAATATGAATATTGAAAGAAAATAATTAATGCTATTTGACATTTTTTTGTTGGGAAAAAAAAGTTTTGCTGATTAATCTGCAAATGATAGACCAAAGAGAAAAAGAATTTGCAAAGGATAGAAAAAAAAAAATTATTGTCCATGCACCAATATTAAATTTAACTACGTGGGTTCATATTTTTTTTATTATATCTTCAATATTTTAAAATTTTAAGGATTATCATATTTTTTTTATTTTTAAATATTTGTTAAATTGTATCCCTTTTATTCTTTCTATCAGATTATTGATTAAATTTATTATTATTTTTATTCTCTCTCAACAAATCTAATAAATTGTCTTTTATTCTTAAAAATCTTACAAATGAATAATACAAAATATTAAATATATTTTATGTTTTTAAAGATCATGCTATAATTTTTATATTAAAATATCATTTATAAATTAATAATTATAAAAATTTGTATTAGTTTTATAATTGATAATATTCTTAAATTTTACCTTAAAACTTAAATAATTTATTTTTTAGAAATATATTTTCCTCTTACTTTCCTTAAATTATTATAATAAAAATTTATTAAATTTAAACATATATAATTTAATATATTTTGTATGTTTAATTTTATTTTATCTTACAACACACGCGAATAATATATTAGTTATATAAATTTTACCTATTCATTATTCGCTTTTTAGGCATAAGACTACTTACGTGGCATCATTTATTTATAAATGGGTTGAATTGTAAGTATCCTCTGTATTCCAAAAACTTATTACAAACAGTAAATTTTATTATTTTTTAATTTTTTACTTTGTTACATTGGAATGTTATGCGTATGATTACTTTTATAATCTTTTATTTTGTTGTGTTACATTTTAGATGAATTAAATTTTAATATAATAAAATTAAAAAATAATTACAATAAACTTGCATTTTTAATATTTGCACTACCTAGAATCTACCATATTATATATATAATGAATTATTGATGTGTTAGGTTGAAAAAATAAACATATACAAGGTTACGTTACGTGTGTAACTTTAATAAGTTTAATTTTAATTTAATATATTTAAAAATATGTGAGAATGAGATATGATAGATACTAAAATGCCTTTACCTGCATTTATGTTCATTAATATTTGCAGAAAATTACCTAAACCTAAACCCATAGTCATTTAGCAGCTATTGAATTTTCATTTTTTTTTTAGTATCCATTTATAAATTCGGATCTAATTACCACCCTGTCTACAAAGAATGGTTCAATTATTTGAATGTTTAAAAGTTTACATTGTATGATACAATTTTTTAACCTGGCAATAGCACATAAGATAAAAAAATATAAAATAAATTTTATTAAAATTATAAAATTTAATGCAATTTAATATATTAATATTATTAAATACTATAATATTTAATAAAAAATACTATTTTTTAATTTCTTATCAAATTTAATGTTATATAAATTTTTTAAAAAATAAATTTATATATATATATATATATATTACGTTTTAATTTTTTTATATACATGAATGTCTTAAAAAAATCTCTAAAATGATAATAGACACCAATTCTCATGTTTAATGTAAAAATATTAAAAATATTTGTATTGTCTATAAGCTTTACAAAAGAGAAACTAAAAAAAAAAAGTTATATTCCTCTTTACAGTACCACTATGTTACCACTCTTCATGAACCTTCAAAATTAATAAACATAACAACTAAATTTTAACAATATTTACAATTTTATATATTAAAAATTGTAAAGCTAAAATTTGATCCATAAAAATATTAAATGATATATTTTGACTAATTCTTAAAATAATAAAAGTAAAATTTGACTAATTCTTGAAAACAATTATATATTTTGATCCATAAACATATTAAATGATAATTTATTCTAAAATTTTCACCAAAAATTAAATTAACTATGTTTTTTTATTTACTTTATAAAAATCTTTACATTACAAATGCACCAAAATTAATCTCTATGAAAAATGTTATATCCTCCTACTATTTCAGCCTATAAATTTTCTTACTCACAAAGTGCTGGATATAACAAGTAAGAAGATATGTCACTTTTATTTTTAAATTTTTTCTCTTTCAAAGATATGTCACTTTAAATAAGAAGATATAACATTTCTGTAAATGCCATTTTCTTAGATTAAAAAAATATATATAAATAGAAAAGTGTGGATATAACAGTTAGATGTAATCCAGGGAAGAATCAAAGAAACTTGTAATTGAATTTTCAAATTTTGATATGAATCTTTCTTCTAAAGTCATGAGTTGATGTTTGTGTCCTAGAAAGTACACAATTGTACGTACAAATCACCCAAACACAGAAAAAAGAAGCGCGTGAAAGTGACAATGAAGATTAAAAAGTCGTAGATGGGTGGAACAAGTGGTCGTGTGGGGACTTTGAAGATTATGCCATCATCACTTTCTGCCCTCAGTAGTTGCTGTTCCTGTCAATTCTCATTACAACAACGATCAAGAAACAAAGAGTGAGACAAAGAAATTTCATACCCATCAAATGGTTCTGATTTCTCCTCGAAACATCCACGAAATTCAGTTTCTCACTCCACAATTATTTTCAGATTTTCCATGGAATTAAAATATGTGCTTAAGCTAATTTTAACCATTATTTTATTGAAAATATAAGTAAGTTTTCAATTATGCATGAATTCAGATTACACAACTGTTACTATGCATCATGTTTATATGAACTGCACCAACTTTTTCATAGTTCTTTTTCTTTTATAATTTGGGCTCCTAGAATGTGTGTAGTAAATTAATAATGGGACAATGGGTCACGGATGACAATAACATATCAAACTTGTGTGTTGTTACACGTAGAAGCATTCTTTTCAATCCACCATTTTCCATTGCTGTCCATGACATGTGAATGTGAAGAACGTTGAGTGGTATTTAAGGTTGCGGGTTTTGGACGTTCATGCATGCTCTTTGCTAATTAGAATTTTATGTATATATGCGTGTCCCTTTTGTCTTGTCTGTCACAACTCTCATCAACAAACGCGCATGTATTATTATCCCTGTGATTCTTTCCTATCAATGTCTCTTTCAAACAATAGCAACTTCCTTTATCTCTTCTCTTTTTCAAAGTTTAAGATACACTTATCTTATTTGAATTAAGACAAAAATAAGTTTAAGTGGGTCTTTTTTTGTTTAAATGTAAACATTCAATCAAAATATAAAAATTCAAAGACTTCTTTAGATCCTAATATTTCATTTTGGATAAAGAATCAGATAAACTCCATTTTACATCGTTGTAATTTTATGCTTTTTCTTATTTAATTTTGTATTTTTATTTTTGTGAATGAACCCTTTATGAGAGTAAAGTGATAAAAAAAATATATAAGTTAAGTGACATGATAAAACAGGTATAATGAGATTTAGTGACACAAATAAAGTGTAGAAGACAAATTGAGAAAGTGGTAAACTACATTTTAGTTCCTAAATTTTCAATTTTTGGTACTTTTGGGTCATCAGAAATAATAAATTGGGAGTTTTAAGTAGAATATAATTATAAAAAATCATTTTATTTTAAAATAAAAATTATTAATTAAAAATACTAGTAGAATTATGTCAAATTAATTTCAAAAGTGATATTATATATATACATATGGGTGAAAATTAAGTTATTTTAAGAATAAATTTATTATATTCAGTTTTAATAACTATTTATAAATATTAATTTTTTAATCTAATTATTGAATAAATTTATATATTTACGTTGATTATCAACTATCAAGTTATATTAAATTGTAATTTATACAATTTTTATATACTTAATCTATTTTTAAAAATTTAATTTAATAGTTAAATTTAAAAATTCAAGTTATAAAAAAAAAAAAAGAATTATTAAGCCAGATAACTCTCACCACAGTTTTTCTTATTCTTAGAATAACTTGATCTTGAGATATCCAAAAAGTGCATTAAAAATAGCAACAAAAATTGTTTTCAGGAATTATTTAAAAAGAATTTTCAGTCGAGACACGAGTGTGAGTGTTTATCAATTATAGTATTAGATATATACCTTGTACCAATAAAATGGTTCCTGTTTAACAGTTGTGTCACTCATCATTGGGAACTTGCCTTTCTTTGTGTTGAGAGAGAAACAAAAACAATGGTTGCATGTATTGTGTATGGCCATAGATAACTGGATAGAAGCACCTTTTCCGGTGTTAGAAAAAAGCTTGTAATGTTAGTTATTATCAAATTGACTATTTAATCTCACTGCATGATTCACAGCACCATCACCATCAACCCAAGACCCATTGCATGCCGTGAAACTTCTATGTTGCTGCTTTAGACATTGCGTGTTTAAATAGCACTTTGTATGGAAATAAAGCTGCAAACAAGTTTTCAATATCTTATTCTCATATCTACCACTTTTTTCTTTAATAAATTTTCCTCAGTAACAATTCTAATGTATTGTAAAAAAATTGCAAATGTTTTGTTGTAAATCTAGACAACAATATTGTTAATGTTTCATGAGTGTGATACCTTTGCAGTTGTGACTTGTATAACAAATTTTGGGTGCTTTATTTATATAAGATTTTATATGATCATTTATTAAAAACATATATAAAGAAGGAAAAGGTTGCAACTCCAATCACAGCCTTTTTAATGTTTTTATCATGAATAATTCAAGTAAGTTTAACTATTTCTTTATCATTTCACCTAATTATTGAAAGCTTTGTTGTTATGACAGAGTCAATGGAGCTTATCTCTCATTAATAATGGTGGAAATATAAGATTTGTTTCACATTTTTAATAATTTTTTGTTGTTGGTAAAGATAGAGATTTAGTTCTTTATTTGTTGTTTATTTTAAATCCTCCTTCTAACTTTTTTTAATTTAATTTAATTATCTAATACTTAAGTTAATTCTTTCATTATAATATTGTTAAAACTGTCAAAATTTTAATTTTATTTCAATAATTATTGAAATTAATTCAAGATTATATTACGACTAAACATTAATAATTTGAGTCATTTTATTGGTGAGACGAGAGACTAAAGTGTGAAGATTAGTCATATTTTGTTTTTAATCAAATTTTGACTTTATTTTTTTCATTTTTTAGTTTCAATAATTATTGAAAATGATTAAGGAGTTCTTCTGTGTATTGAGTTGTCATTAATATATCAAATTATTGATTAAAATGAGAAATTAAACCAAGTTGTTAATCTAGATCTTTTTTCTCCATCACTGAATTTTTATATTTTGATAATACTTGATAATTTTTTTAGAATTTTTACTCATAATTAACATAATCCGTTGCCCTAAAATTTTGTGACATATACAAAGAGAATTAGACAGGTCAATGATAATCCTTCAATTAAAATGCAATTCTAGCATGATTTTCAATAAGATTCAACAGTATATATATAAAGAAAGATCAAATAACTAATTTTAGTGTATAATTTTTAATTTTCTAAAAAAATTAGGATCTAACCAAAATCAATTTATTTATTGTTTTGAAAAGCTATTTTGAATAGATTTAAAATAAAATAAATTTGTAACTACTTTTAAAATAAAGTATTTTTTATAATTATAAATAAATCAAATGTAACTTTAATATTTTAATAAATCTATAAAATATAAAACATTTTTAATAAATTATTATAAAAATCATATGTTTTACAAAATATGTCCTAACTGATGTATTTTGTGAATTTATTTTTTATACGTAATGACACAATGCTATTTTTTACTAAAATAGATTATTTATTTTTATCTATTCTAAAAGTGTAACTCATTCATTAAGTAGGAATACATAAATTTATTAGTTTTTCACATTCAATTACATGTGATAGTTTGTTTTTCAATATCAAAATTCATTTATTTAATTAAGTCATATTTAATACATAAAAAATTATTATTAATAATAAAATATTTATATTTTAAATTAAAAATAGATACATTTAACATTTTATTTTTAAAATATTTTAATTTAATATATTCCTATAGTATACGAAATATTTACTAATATAGTGTCTGAAATGTATATTATAGATTATAAATTTTAAGAAACTCTAATAAAAATAATATTCACATTAATTATTTAGTGTATTTTTCATCAAAAAATCGTTCTATCTACTTCTATATATAAGGGATGATTTTTCAAAAATATATTAGATAAGAGATGGAGATGAAGTCCAAACCCATACAAGGGATCATTTTATTCTGAAGGTAATAGAAAACACCATAGAGAGTGCCTAAAACAAAGCAATTACATAGGGTATTTGTATATTTGAAGGACCTTCTTCCAAGATGGCCTATTGCTAATATGATCCCACCAATCACTCACATGCTTCCTTTCTCTAACCATTTTCTCTTTTCCCAATTGGTTCATCAAATAATGGGTAAATGGGAGATGGCTAAGATCAGCAAGGCTGAAGAAATCCCCTGCCAAATACTTTGTTTTGGATAGCCCCTCTTCATAAATGTCAACACCTTTTTCTTCACTCTCTTTAATCACTTTTGGGTCTGATGGAAGGCCCAATAGTGGTGAAACCAAAATATTCATAACCAAGTTGAAGATGGGTGGGTTAAAGTTATGGGCTTCCACTTCCAACCACTGCTCCACAAGACCCTTTTCTTCAATTGTTTTCCCCAACAAATCAGTCCCTTGGTTTTTGAACTTCTCAGCATAGTACCTAATTATTGCCCTTGATTCTGCACAATTAAGGAGATAAATCAAAATTAACTGTGATTAACTAAACAAAATGTAGAAACTAGTGAAGAGGCTAACCATAAAGAGTGTAATCACCATCTTGAATAACAGTAAGCAATCCAAAGGGCTGCAAATTATAAGCAAAAGGCATAATTATATTCAACAAAATATTAAAACAAAATTGTCTTAAACTCTCAACATTAAGAAGTCACATTAGAAGTAATAATCTGAATTTGATTAGATAGAACCCTTGAAGGGAGAAAACTCATCCCAACATCTATTTTCTCCATTTGCATTTTATTTTTCAAAATAATATTTCTCATGAAAGAATTTTGTGAAAAGGCACATGAAAATGTGCATTTTGTAAAAACAAAAGTGAACCTGCAACTTGAGGTACTCAGATTGCTTATGCTCTCCCTTGAAGCCATCAATATGAACTGCTTCAAACTCAATTTCTTTCTCAATCAGACACGCTATAACCCGTTTTGGGCAATCATAGTCTGGGCCATAGACCTTCACTCATGGTAATTTGCAGAAAGCAAGAATGATGATGCTTGATTGATGGAATTTGGGTTTAACCTTGTTGCTTCTTATAGTGCCTAGCAATACAATCCTCAAAGAGGTTCAATGCATCAAAATCAAGTCAATTAATTGAACACTCTTCAAAGAGATGATAAGAAGCTATCTATATCTGTATCTAAATATGTACAATTCACTGTATAATAATATTAATGATATATTTATTAAGTGAAATATATAATTAATTTAAACAATATTTTTAAATTAAAACTATATTTATTAAGTATAAAATATTACCAAATTTATTAAATGTAATAAATGCTTATTAAATGTTTGACTATTAATATTAATAAAATATTGGAAAAGAAAGACATTATTAAATATTAAATACGTTACATATAAAAGATATATCCTGTAAAAAGAGTAAATTTGAACTGTACATCTGTACACAAATAATTAAAATTCAAATTTTTTTAAAAAATATATGACCACTTAAGAAATTTATGTGATTTAAAAAAAAACCACATAACTTGTACCGACGGAGAAAATATTCATTAATATTAAGTGTTAAATTTAGTCACTTAATAACTTTTTGGTAAGATGTTAGATTAATCAATTTAATTGTTGGTCAAAATATTCTTATAAAATAGATTAATTTTATAAAATAGATTAATTTTATAAAATTTCATATAAAAATAAAATGAATAGATATTTCATAATATTACTTTATTTTAACAAGTAATTCTTTTTGAAATATAAATAAATATTAAAATTTGAATAACAAACTTATAAATATCCAAATTATATAAAATTTGATAAATATAATTATGAAATATATATAAATTATTAATGATTGAATTTATTAATTTTACATTTTATAAAATATTATTAAATTATGTAAGTGTCTAACTTTAATATTTAATATTAATCAATCCTGCTGTCTCTTACTATATTTTGAAAATAATATTATTTTAATTTTATTAAAATATTTTTTTTAGAAAAATAAAATAAGTGAGTGTATATTATCAACACAGAGGCATACTTGGTTGTAATGAAAATTAGAACATTGAAAACTAACCATTTTTTTTTTGCTATATAAAAGATTATATTCATTAAATATAATATATTTATTAAATTTACTAAATATAATAAATGCTTATTAAATGTATAACTATTGGATATCAAGCAGGAATATAGTGGCAGGTTTTGCAGTGGGCATACTAGAAATGTATCTATTGGTGATATTTAAAATATTGGCAGACTGCACATGTATGATTGGATTGGTTTGTGGTACAAGTGGAATGTGAGGGAGGGGTGCAGGTGCATTGGGCAAGGAACTTGATTGGGGTATAGGAAACAATTTATTATAAGAAAAAATATATTCATTTATTACTGCACTTTTGACAATATGTATTTTACCTGAGGTTGATAAGCACTTATAGCCTTTATGATTAGGTGAATAGCTAATAAAGACACAAAGATGAGACCTAAAATCAAACTTGTGCTTGTTAAGATGAGGGAGGTGGGGGGTAGTAAGCACATCCAAAGACTTTGAGATGTGAGTAGGTGGGCTGTTTGTGATAAAGGAGTTCAAAAGAGGATTGATTTTGAGTATTTGGTGATGGCAGTCTATTGATAAGGTAGGTAGCTGAGATAAAAGCTTCATCCCAAAATTTTAGGGGAATAGAAGCAGTGGCTAAAAGGAAGAGACCAATTTCCTTGATGTGCCTATGTTTTCTTTTAGCACATCCATTTTGTTGTTGGGTGTAGGGGCAACTAAGTCTGTGATGGATGCCATGGGTTGTGAGGTATTTAGTGAATGAAGAGGATAAATATTCCCCTCCATTATCTGTTTGTAGTGATTTGATCCTCAGACTAGTTTGATTTTCTATGTATATCTTATATTGGACAAAAGTTGTGAATACTTGTGACTTATTTTCCAGTAGGTAAATGCATGTATATTTCGTACAAACATCAATGAATGACATATAGTATCAAAATCTAGAGAAAGATGAAACTAGGGCAGGTCCCCACACATTAGACACAATAAGTTCTAGTAGTTTATCATAATTATAATTTGTGACAGGAAAGGATTGTTGATGAGACTTTGCAACACATCATGCATCGCAGTGAAGACTAAAATCAAAATCAATACTTTTATTAGAATCAACTTGTACATTACAGAGATTCATGACATGCTGCAGTGTTTTGTGTGCTGGGTGGCCTAATCTCTTAGCCACAACACTCTGGTGTGAGTGTTGACAGGGGAATTACAATGAGAAGAAGAGTAGTGAAGTTTTCTTTTGGAACATGAATATCATTAAATCTGTATAGACCATTCTTAAGGGTGCCTTGAAGTAGCACTTCCTTGATCACCTGTGACTTCACAAAACAATCATGAGGTCCGAATTCAAAATATACACAGTTATCCTTTGCAAACTTAGATACTGATAGAAGGTTTTTAGAGACTTCAGGAACATGTAATATTGATTTAGACAAAAGGTTTTGTGAGTGTTAGATGCATACAATGCAGATTTGCCAATATTTTTAATAGCAATACCTGATCCAGTTCCAATATACTCTTGCTCAGGCCCCTCAAATTATGAACTTGTGAGTAGATTTATGTGATCAAATGTCAAGTGATGGCTTGCCCCTGAATTAGGATACCAAGCTGAGTCTTGAGGAGAGGAGGTGGTAGCAAGATATGCTCTTGGATTATAGAATGCAGCTGAGGGTGGAATAGAGGAAGGAGCTCTTCGGTTGGGGTTTTGAAACCCTTGATCAAATCAATGAAAACATTCCCAAACAACATGCCCAACTTTGCCACATAGTTGGCATTGTGATTTGTTTGCTTTGTGCCAAAAGGATCTTCTTCCTCTATGTGAATGTCCTCCTCCTCTGCCTCTTCTATTGTAGTCACCTCTGCCAAAACTCTGACCTCCATTCTTATTCTCATGTTGAGGCACCTGGGCTATATTAGCTTGAACAATATTTACATCTTTCTTGAACCTTTCAAGTAAGTCTTCTTAAGCCATTAAAAGGGCTTCAAGTTCCTCTATAGAATAGGTATTAGATCGATAGAGCACAAGAGTTATCATTGAACTATATTCTTCACTAAGTCCATCAAGAATTACCTCAATGTGTTCTTCAACTGATAGGGGAGCACCTACCAATGCAAGGGAATTAGCAATCTTCTTGATTTTTAACAAGTAATCGATGATACTATCATTTTGCTTCTTGATTGCTTTCAGTTGCAACTTCAGTTGCTTCACTCTCGCTTTGGTTTTGGAGGCAAAGTAGGTTTCAACCTTGCTCCATACCTGGTGTGCGAATTCACAACCCACCATCCTATTGGTGAAAGCGCTCTCCATGGAAGCTAAGAGCCATGCTGCTAAATGGTTATCTTGAGGCTCCTAAACAGTGTAGGCCTGAGTTTCAGTGCCTAGATCTTCATCTTCTTGAGTGTCAAATCGACGAGGAATCTTGTCTTTGTTTAGGTGGTCTTTTAGCTTGTGTGCTTTGATGGTGAGTATCGCTTGATGTCTCCATGTGACGTAGTTATGTTCACTTAGTCGTGTGGCTAGTGGATTTGAGAAGGTCTTTGGCGAATTAGCCATTGAAACTGTTAGTGCGAAAGGTGTGGTGAGCTCAAAGTCTAAAGACCGAGAACTCTGATACCATATTGGATATCAGGCCTAAGGGTTTGGAGAGAGGAAAGAGAGTTTGATAAAGAATGTACTATGTATTTTTTTTATTAAAAATATGAAAAGAATTGAAAACAGTGTACAAGTTTTGACTTTATATACAAGAAGGATTAGTCTATCTTTAACTAAATAAACTAATCCTAACAGATTAATTGTTTGTTAATAAAGTAATTACAATTGAAAACTAATTCTAATATGATCTAGTTATACAGTTCACCTATCAATAACTTTATATATTAATCAAATATAAAAAAATAAAATTATTTCAGATTTAAGTACTTTAAAACACATACTAAAAAGTATATTTTTATTTTAATAAAAATAAATTTATAAAAATATGTTAAAATGAAAAATTATATATGTATAAATATATAATTTTATAAATAATTTATATCTTTAATGGTGGTTGTATTAAATAAATTTTTATTGACCATTATTGTTCACAATCACAACAATATTTTAAAGTGATAAAATTGAAATGTTTATTATTATAATTTAAAGATTATATAATTTTTTATATGTTAATAATTTAATGTACCATTCATTGTTCACTATCCTTTAATTTTAGGGATTTAATTATAGTAAAATAAAATTTATTTAATACAAATAAAAAATTTAAATCTCACATATCAAATAAAAATGAAAAATGCATGTATTAAATTTTAAACATTTCATTTAGTATTTTATTTAGATATTATATATCTTTTTTATTAATTCATATAAATCAATAATATGTCAATTTTTAATTATATTTTTATTAATTATTGAATAAAATTTTGAGATAAGAGTCTTAATTTAAAAAATTGAGAAACTAAAAAATTAAATACAAACAATTAAAATCAAAGAGTCAAAATTGAACGTAGATTAATCTTTAATGGGCCACAAATGCAATTAAAGTATGATTCTTTTAAGAAAATAATATTGAAATAATTTATTTAAAAAGGAAAATAAAATTAAAAATAATTCAATCTATTGTAAAATTAATTTTGGTGAATTGTTTGTGGCAATAGTTATCAAAATCATCTTGAATTGTCCAATTTGATCAGCTTGACATAGAACTATTCAGGGAATCGGTTTGAGCAGCTAAAAAAGACTAATGAAATAGAGAATTAATCAAAAGTAAGTAAGAAGCAATGAACAAAATCACTTTGAACTGGTTAATTTTTTAAAAATTCATGCGTTAATTTATTATTTAACATAATATATGATATTAATAATATTATTAATCTCAATTTTAAGGCTAAATTTAATCTTTAAAATGTAATAATTTTTATAAATATTTATCACATTAAAAATATAATAAATTATTGCTGTAACAAATACTTATCACTTTTAAATGTTAAACTTAAATTTTAAAACTAAAAATAAAAATAATAATATTAACATTAAATAATTTATCATCATTAATTCATCTACGGTTTAATTAAATCTTTGAAAATTCTCCGATTAATTTTAAATGAAAACTAACATAAAAATTGAAAAATAAAATGTGCAAAGTGATACAGAAGGTTATTACAAAATATTACAAAACTTACACCAACATGATTTTTATTTACTAAATGTACCGTTTAATAATTTCTTATCAAATAATTATAAAATTTTATATGAATTGAAAATTTATTCTTTATTCATATACAATAATATATATATATATATATATATAATTTTATAGAAGTAATTAAAACAATTTATAATTTAACAATTTAATCAATAAAAGAATGTTCTATATCAAATTATCGATGATATAAAAACGACACAAGCTTATGTTGTTGAAAAATAATATGGATCCAGGTTCCCTGCATTTTTAGTGTAAACTATACTTTAACAGTTAATTTACCAAAATTTCTCGTTTAAGCGAAATTACGAGGAAACAACAAAATTGTGTTGATTAGACAATGACAATTGTGCCTGTGCTATTTTACTTTTTCTCTACAATGATACCATAAATACCATAAAGAAGCACAACTTGATACGCATAACCAAGATATAAACCCTAATTTGGTTAACGGAATTTAGGAACAAAGCATGGTTGTGAAAGTGTATGGTCCAACCTATGCTTCCCCCAAAAGGGTTGTGGTGTGTCTGATTGAGAAGGAAGTTGAGTTTGAAGCAGTGCATATTGATCTCTTCAAGGGAGAGCATAGGAAACCTGAGTTTCTCAAGCTCCAGGTTCAATTTTAATTTTTCTTGTTAATTTATTTTGACTTTATGTTTTGCTCTATTACAGTGTTTACTTCACTGGGTTTCAGGGTTTTTTTAAAAGAAATATATTTATTTTTGTCGTGTTTGATTATACTTGTGTTTGATTAATCTGCAGCCATTTGGAGCCCTTCCTGTTATTCAAGATGGTGATTATACTCTCTATGGTTAGCCACTTGGCCCCTTTATGATTTTCTGCTTTTTTTCCTTTGTATCTTGTGCCATGTAGTTAATGATTGTTGGGTTTGATCTTTCTCCTTGATGTTCTTCACCTTTTGGAGCCCTTATATTGATGTGGGTAGTTCAAACTTTTGATAAAAAAAGTGTTAATTGATTTGTGGGGTTAGGATGTTCATCCCTAATTTTGAGTAGAGAGGATTATTACTCAGTTACTCCATTTAGTTGGTTTGTCAAAAGTTGATTTCGATAGACATCATGTAGTTTGATGCATCGTGCAAATAACTGTAGCAAACTTCGACGGGATGGTTTTTGTTGCATGAAATTTCATATTCAAATTCAATCTGAAAAGGCGAATGCCCACTTCCATACACTGATGTTGAATCAATTTTTCAGAATCTCGTGCAATAATCAGATACTATGCAGAAAAGTATAAAGACCAAGGGACTGATTTGTTGGGAAAGACAATAGAAGAAAGGGGTCTTGTGGAACAATGGCTTGAAGTGGAAGCTCAGAACTTTCACCCACCAATTTACGACTTAGTCATTAATGTTTTGTTTGCCCCATTAATGGGTGCTCCATCAGACCAGAAAGTGATCGAAGAGAGTGTTAAAAAGATTGAGAAGGTGCTGGATATTTATGAGGAGAGGCTGTCAAAGAGCAAGTACTTGGCTGGTGATTTCTTCAGCCTTGCTGATCTGAGCCATCTTCCATTTGGTCATTATTTGGTGAACCAAACTGGGAGAGGGAATTTGGTAAGAGAGAGGAAGCATGTGAGTGCTTGGTGGGATGATATTAGCAACAGACCATCTTGGAAGAAGGTTCTTGAGCAATTCAAATACCCTGTCTAGCTGCTTAATTGGAAGAAGGGCTTTGTCCTTCAATGTTTTCTGTTATCTGCTTCAGAATAAATCGAGCCTATGTGCAAGATGTGGACCTCTCTCTCTCGAGTTTGTTTTTGGATTTGGATCTTTAACTCTTTCTTGAATAATAACTTTGTGTAAGGATTACTGTGATCCCTGGTGCATACGAGGCTATGTTATGTTAAAGTAACTTATTTAGGAGCTTGAAATATATTGACTCTAAGTATCTAATAGAGTTTTTTTGTTAAATACAAAATAAAAGGAACCTGTGTAACTTTTGGAAACTAACTTTTTAAGAATTGTTTAAAGTAATATTTAACTTTTAAAAGTTAATTATTAAATTTTTTATTATATTTCTATCTTTTATTTTATTTTTTTTTAAATCTTTTTTTTTTAAAAAAAAAAAGAGCTTATTTGCTGTACAATTTAAATCTAATGTACATTTCTTAATCTTTTTATCATTTTTTTCTCTTTGCATTCATAACAATCTTTTTTTCTAAACTTTTTTTATTCACTCTTTTTTTAGTCTTTTCTATCTAAATATATTTTATATTAAAAATATATATAACTTAAAATATTTTATATTCAAATATATAGTAAGAGAAATTTTATTTTTTTATATAATTATTTAATTAATTGATAACAAATAAAAAATAAATAATAATTAATTTTAATATTATATCAATATAATATTATATATCTTTTTAAGTCGTTCAACAGAAATCAACTAGTTCCATACTATTTATATAATTATAAATTTATAGTTACAAATTCACAGTTTTCAACTAACTTCAAGTGCCACTTGTGTTGAGAAATGAAGATAAATACCAGCTTATACTTTTACTTCTTTTTAGTTTGGATTTTGCATGAGATTTTTTTTAATGTGGCGGAAATTATAAGAGGAGAAAATTAAGCTAATGCCAATACATGGACCAGCAGTAGAAATTTCAAATAACATTTTGTTTTCAATTTTTATTTTTACATTTAATTATAAAAATCTCACCTTTATTTTTATTTTATTCTTGTTTTTAAATATTTATACAAGAAACAACGAAAACATCAAATCATTGAAGAAAAGAAGCAGAATTATTATTATATGCTGACCTACATTCTTGTTTTGACTCGACTACTCGTGCCCATACAAATGTGCATTGTGCTTTTCTTTAAGGTAAGGAACAAAGATATGTATTGTTTTTTATTACATCTTCAACTAGGATAACTTTTGGTCTTTTTGGTATTTATCTGTATTTTATATAAAGAGAATAAAAAATAAGTTTAAGATACACATAATTGCAGTATCAAATTTTAGTGATATAAATAGAGAAATTGTGAGAAACACGGCAAATATGTGCAATGGCCATATGTTTCAATGTGCCACAAGGCACATATAATACTGAAAATCCATAATACAGCATCCCTCTCAGTATTTAAAAGGAGGAACTAGCCAGCTTTGAAGGAATATATGAATGCAGAACGTGTTTTCACATAACCTGTTCAACAAAACACAATTTGAGATTCGTAAGATTTTAAAGTTGAATTTTTTTAATATAATAGACTTAATTTCGAACCATTAAATTTAATTGAAGTGTGCTCAATCAGAGACACCCTTACTAACATTTCCCAACTTTTCTTTCACACTCTTAAATTACCTTAAGATTCCAAATGATACTTGATGTTGCAGAAAACAAAATTGAGTGCCTAGTTTCCAGACTCTGGTGGATCAAAGTTTACTCCAACTTCTAGCCAATGTTCCACAACACCACTCTTCTATCGGTTTCCCTTGCAACTCACCCCTTTGAGGCTCGTATTTTTTCTGCATAATGCCTCATTATCTTCTTTGGTTCGACAGAATAAGTTGAAAGCATAAAGCTAATAGAACCAGTTGGTAATAATTGATTATCATCGACCAATATCATTAAATGACTCAAAGTTGGTAAGAAAAACCTTAGCCCATTCTTAACACACCTAAACAAAAGTTTGGGCTTCTTTTCCTGCCGTTCCCCTACACATCCAACACAAACACAGCACAAGGAAGACCACATTACAAAAATGTGCTCCCACACTATATTTCCCTCCACAGTAGACCATTTTACTTCCAGTCAAAATCTACAAATTTTAATTTTCACTTTGACAGAACACAACCAATTAGTGGATCTACAGACATCAAACAAAATCAACCACACTGAAATCACATGTTGTCCACTGTCTGTTTCAATCTTACCATAATTGTTGTCACTAATCCTATACTACCCCTCCTGGCTGTATACATATCAATACCAATTTCACAATCACAGCTGTGCATCCATTCACACTAGAAAAGCCAAATAGATAACAAAAAAATACAAGCAACCATCAGTCACCACTCATTATCTCATAGTTAACTAAATATTAGTCTTGTGGTCCAAGGAATAGTGAAAATTTTGCTCTGTTTGGTTAGAGGGGAGAGAAATAGAAAGGAAGGAAAACACCATAACGATGTATCTTTTACTATTTGGTTGAAGGAAAAATGAAAAGATAAGAGAAATGAGAAGTTGACTGCTAGAAACAAAAATTAAAACTTTCCTTCGTTCCATTTTCCCTTCAATTTAAATTTTTAATTTTTTTTCCCTTTCCTTCTACATAACCAATGTGTGTGTGAAAGAAAGGAGAAATATAGTCATATTTAGTGAGTTAATAGTTAAATTCCCCTATGAAATATATACAACATTAACCATATTAATCCCTAAATGATGAAAATTACATACAAGGTCCCTAAATATGCATTCAACAACAAATGAGTCTCTAAATATGTATGTGATAAGTCAAATTAGACTTTGATATGAATGATAGGAGGACAAATTTTGACCAAAAAATGCAAAATTAGACACCTTAAGCATAATTTCAATCATTCCTTAACTAATATAATCGACACGATATTTTTCATACATTAAAATTTGACTATATACCAAAAAATATAAGGAACGCAAAAGCAGGAAACATCAAAATTTTATCTAAGAATAGAAGAACAAGTCCCCACCATTAAAATTTTCAAGATTAAAATATAAAAAACATGTCATAATTTTTAGAAATCACATTAAATTAAATAATTGTGACTTTAAAAATCTTTTAATCATACTGTCCAAATTTATCATCTTTCTTCTCATGTAATGAAAAACATCTTCCCTAAAAACATCCTCAATAAACAAACTTTCAAAGCCATATTTAAAAAAATTAAAATAAAAATCTAACAAAATCCATTATTTTGCAAGGAAAAAAAAAAGCAAAATAAATCATAAGAAATTTCCAAACGAACCAAATCGAGAGCTTCGAGGGATTCAACAAAAAAACACAAGCAAAATCACCAAAGCTTAAAAATTTTATGAATAAAAACTGAAACGTTGAAGAACCTTCAGATGATCATCACAAGGCCAAGGGTTTATGCGACTTGATGGCATTCAGAGAGAGAGTGAGAGAGAACGCGAGCAGCGAGAGGTGAGAAACATGATTCAGATTGAAAACTACGAATGAACATCAAGGAATGAAAACCCCTTTGTTTATTTCAGGTTGCGTTTTACTCTTCACATGCTTGTTCCTTCCTTCGCCACTTCCAGCACTCTCTTCTCTCCCTCTCGCCGCCACTTTTTTCGCTACCCTTGTTCCTTCCCCTTCCTTTACCCACGTTTATGGATTCCCATCTTATTATATATATATTATTAATCATTTTTATAAAATAAACTTACTTATTATTTATCCTTTATTTGGATTAAAAAATAAAGAAGAAAACAAAAAATAAATAAAGATCTTATTTTAATTAAAAACATAAAAAATCCTTTAAAATAAATTTTTATTTTTTATTAATTTAAATTTTAAATTTTGTTCTTATCTTTTTTAAGAATAAAATTAGAGGATTAATGATTGGTTGAGAATTAAATTTTTTTCTAAAAAAAAATATTCTTTAATTCAGGAAAAAAGGAATATAATAAGTTAAATTAAACGTTTGTAAACTTTTTATATAAAAACTATTTGAGAAGTGAAGTCTATTTAAATGTTTAACATTTACTGTGAGTCTAACATAATCAAACTATCATAAATAAAATATAAACATTCAACATCCACAAGTTCTCATCCAAAATTTAAGTTTTAATTTCCATTGATAATATAAGTTTATAATTTATTTAAGAATTGAAAGCTTAATTTTAGTAAACTAATTTTGCTAAATGAAAAAAAAAAAGGACAGGTTTTAATATCCTCCCTTATAATGTAAAAAGTGTATTTTTTTGAAAAATATAGCTTTTGCATAAGTGATTAATAATTAAAAGTGAGCCGTTAATCGTTGCAGTTTAAAATTGGATGGCTAAAATTAAATATTGAAAAGGTAAACAAATGCGGATAGAAATGAATAGTGAGCAGGATGAAGAAGGTTATTAACGTAAATGTGACAAGTTATGTACATAAAATTTAATTAACATCATACGTCCCATACAGCCGATGTAGATATGGTTAACATGACACAGTAACAAAGTAATTGTCAAAGGGAGACATGACCTTAGAACTCAATTAATCTAAATACAGTAGATGCGCAATTTGAAAAGGTTGTGGTGAAATGACATCAGTTTTAACACAGAACCGATGCAAATAGAGTGCATGCGCAATATGTAAAAGGTACTTGTGAAATGACATCAGTTGTAGCACACAACCGATGCAAAAAGAGGGCATGCCCAATATATAAAAGGTGGTCACATAATGACGTCATTTTGACTACATAACCGATGGAAATGTAGACAACGTAGAAGGTGGTTGGGTAATGACATCTGTTATGCCAGACAACCGATTCAAAATCAGGTCCATGTGGTAATGTAATAGGTACTCACCTATTGACATTGGTTTTATCACACAACCGATGCAAATGTGTGGCAGTTGGACTGTCCATATTTATAAGTTTTTACGTTAGTGATCAACAGAAAAGCGAAAGCCTTGGTAGAGCTACTGGGCAAAATGGTGAATTCCAGTGTTAAATCATAGGATGAAATTGTATTAGCCTAAACAAAGCCTTGGTCAGAGGGGTGGCAGAGTGGTAGGGTTTTTCATATAAAGAGGTGGAATACTTAGTTAGAGAAGAAGGGCAAAACGAATTTGCAATGCAAAGATAAAGGAGAATAGGACGACGGAAGGAGTGTAGAAGGCAAAAAATACCCATTATATAAATCAGTTTAACATGGATTTCCCTCGAAATGATGAAGGAAACGACGAGGTTTGTGTAGGTTATGTGTATTTGAGTGAATAACCATAGTTGTTATAATTGAAGTAACTTGTGTATTATTTATATATGTTACAGGTTGTTGAGGAATGCAATGTGGATGAGGAAATGGGAAGTTCAGATGAAGTCGATATGCAGAAGGATGGATACGTCAATTTGAGTGATTTATGTAGCACTGAGATTAAGAGAAAGAAATTTTTGAGTGTTGAGGAAGGTTATAAATTTTATAATGAATATGGCAAAATTAATGGGTTTAGTGTGAGGAAAAATAAATGGGGTAAAAATAAGAATAGAGATGTTGTGTGGCAGCAATTTGTTTGTTCGGCAGCAATTTGTTTGTTCAAGCCAAGGTTTTCGACAAGATATTTACAAATGTAACCCCAATCGACTTCGGGAGCACAGAGCAATTACTAGATTTGGCTGTGAGGCAAAGATGAAGATACGTTTAGATGTATATAGAGGGTGCTGGGTAGTTTGTCGATTCTTTGATGATCATAATCATAATTTAGTTGATGAGAATTATTTTGGAATGTTAAGGTCACATCGCAAAATGGATGATGGTGATGTTGAACAAATGCGTCGAATGATAAAAAGTGGTATTCCAACTTGCAAAATATATGACTCATTTGTTAGCCAAAGAGGAAGTTATGACATGGTTGGCTTTTGCAAAAAAAGATATGTATAATCAGATTGAGAGAAATAGAAAAGGACAGGATGGGGATGTTAAGGAGGCAGAAAAATTCTTAATAAGGTTGCGCTTAAAGGATCTGAAGCTGTAGGGGTCACAAGGTTGATTGTAATGGGAGGTTGTTGCATATATTCTAGTGTGATGGTGTGAGTCAAATTGATTATGACATCTTTGGAGATGTTGTTGCCTTTGATGCTACTTATGAGATGAATAAATACAAATGTCCTGTTGTTATTTTTTCTGGTGTCAATCATCATAAACAGACGTGTGTATTTGGGTGTGCAGTTGTGTCCGATGAGGACCCAAACACACTACTCCTTTCATCACTCATAATCGACTTCGTGACCTGGTGACCGACATGACATGTCACTTTGTTCATAACTTCCTTTTGCTTAGGCCCATTGTCCTTCACCTTTCAAAATTTATTTTTTATATTATGGGTATATATTGATGCTTAAAGGCCCAAAGGCCCATTAAGCTCATGCTTCCGTTCATAACAACATGTCATTTCACGTCAGGGTTTCATGTATATATTCTATATTATTCATTTTCACAACACAAATGCTCAACATTTCCTTCTTAAGGAAAATATTTAGACATTGCTTATTTTATAACTGGGTTATGGTACAAACCGATATAAAATTTAACTTACTCTAATATTGCCTACAAGTACAAATATTACGTTATTTAATTAGTAAATAAGTTTCATCATTTCATCTATGCAATTTGCAGCAAAATGGTTGATACAACACAAAATGTGTCTGCATTGTATCACAAACCGCTGTACACCATCAAATATTAAGTTTTGTTTATTTCTACTTTTAAAAATTTCAAATACTTTAACATAAAACATTTTTTTATCATGTTAAAAAATATTGTTATTTTTTTTTATAGACTTTATATTCAACTTTAATCATACATTTTGTTTACTAATACTAAATTAAAAACAAATTTCTTAAAGGCTTCTATAAACTATCAACAAATTAATTAATAATACTATAATCTTTATGACAACACACAAATTTATTACAATAGTGATGCAATCAAATAATTTACTTCACATTATAAATTTATTTTATTAGAATGTATCAAAAGTAAATTATTTTTTCTACTATTTTAATTTTAGATTTAAATTAAATTTATTTTACTTAACACTAAATTTACAACTAAGTTAACATAAAATATTGTCTAATATTTAATAACTATAATTACTTTGTCTACTGAATTATAAATGCAAAGTAAAAAGATTTCAATTTTATTTTAATACAATATGAATGTAAAATATGCACATAATTTATATATTTTAAATCAAATATATAAAGATATATTTTTATATTAATTATACAAATTGAAATTTTTAAATCAATAATATATAAATAATAGTATAATGGACTATATTTTTATTTTTGTTATATCAAATACAAATTGAGGATAATAAATTATACCTGATATTCTTTTAATTTAATACAACATTAATACACATATCAAATCGATTCTATAATACAAAATAATTAAATGTAATATATGATACTCAGATAATGACATTCGTCAACTAAATAGATGTATTACACCTACGGATGACATTGTAGGTTGACGCCATTATTTCAAATTTCAAAAAGGGTTGTCATTTCTACATCGGTTGAATTGGATGACCGATACAATATTCCTTCACAAATTATATTTATATGAGTTCTATCATATAACAGATGTAAAAAGTGGCCACATCAAGCCAACACAAGTGGTTGCTTGATGACATCGAACTTGCCACAAAACTGATCTACATGTGTTCTCTCATATAACCGATGCAAATACAGTCCATGAACATAATCTATAAAGTAATTGCCACAAACCGATGCAAATTGATTACGATCGTCACCTAATGATATTGGTTTTATAACAACCGATGTAAATCCCGCTCCTATTTCTTTCACGTATATATTCTACCCTTTCATTTTCACAACAAAAATGGTAAACAGATTCTTCATATCACACTAATAAATATGGGTTCTTCTATATGTGGGTTATTGCACAAACTAATGTTCACGTTTAACTTTTTGTAATATTGCCTACAATTCCAAATTGAATTATTTTATCACTTCCATCATTCCATCTACAATCTGTATCTTAAAGGTTGATATAGCAGAAAATGTGTCTGCGTTTCACCACAAACACCATCAAATATTATATATATCTTTCACAGATGAAAGATAAAAGTGCAACTAAAATCAAACATATCACTGTTAAATGTATGCCTCAAGAGATAATTCTGATATAGTTCCACATTTGCCGGAAAATCAAATGAGACATAATGCGACCCAGTTTCATAATTATGTTGCAATGTGAAAAATTAAAATAACAACATGACCAATAAGAAAAAGTCGTACAAAACACGAAGAAAGAATAAAACCATAAAATTACCAATGTATCATTTCAAAAATCTAACTTGAATAATCGGTATCCTGTAATTCATTTTTAACTATTCGATTAAAATCAATGGTGCATAATACATGATAGCTTTTGCAAAAAAAAAATTTCTTTACTTTCTACAAAAGAAGAGAAGATATTAGAACCCCCCAAAAAAGGTATAACTTTAAAAAACTTACAACTTTTAAAAGTTAACATATGAAAATCTAATTTTCATAACTTTTAACTTGTTAAAATTTCTTTTAATAATTTTGTTATCTTTATTTTTAATTTTTTAAATAATCTACACTAATAAAATAATTTTTAACACATTCTTTTCAATTATTTGACACATTTCAACCAACTATATAACTAATACAAAATTTAATAATATACTCTCTAAGATAATTGTAGTTATTGACTAAAATTTATAAAAAATTATAATAATCATGTTCTCATTTTTTTTCTCACTCCTAATTTAATAATTTACTCTCTTATTTTAATAATTTTCAATAAATTTTAGTTAATAATTAAAAATGTATTAAAAAGTATGGTGCTAACAGCTCTAATTCAATCATCTAGTTATATAAAATTTTAAACTATATAAATCTTCAGCTAGTTTATCAACTAATATATATAAACTTTCAGGCTATTTTAGCAAACTGAGCCTTAGTTTACGTAAATCTCAACCATTACTAAACTCCAAATACCCATTATTTAACGCAACAATTCTCATTACTTACATACAACGCAAGCGTGTGGCACACGGCTTGCTAGCTCTACATTACCACAAAATTTTTGAATAATCAAGTGCTGGTTCCAGCCAATCAGTATGTTGAACGAGGTGGATTCAGACTTGGTTTCCACAAATGCCAAAATATCTTATACCAGACAAAGAGCATAGATTAACAATAGATATCAGAATGAGACCACAGACTGTGGATGATTTGAAGATTGCAGCTGAGATAGTGCAGTATCACTTTCTTCATTCTCATCAAAAGGAATTGGTTGTCCACATGCATCCTTCCTGTAAATCGAATTACAAATTGGAAGGACATTACAATTAAATAAAAGAAGGCTTGAATTAAATATAATTCTAATGCTATACTTTTATGTGATTTTTTATTTCAGTCTTTCAAAAATATTTTTTATTTTTATTTTTTTTAATTCATCACTTTTAGCACTTAATGATGACATGACCTCTCAAAAATATGATACATGGCAACCCCTTAGCTGATCATGTTATTATTAAAGACCAAAAATGCTGAATTTTGAAAAATTTGGGGCAAAAACTGAAAAAAAATAAAAATTGGAGGGACTACAATCAAAACTTTACAAAAATGTTGGAACCAAAATAATATTTAAACTTAAAAAAAGAAAATAAATGGGTTGACAGCCGTAAAAACGATAAATTGCTTATCCAGTACGTTTATTCTAAACTCAGTATCACAAAGACACACAAAAAGGACATATCATTCAAAGTAAAATATTTGAGAAAAAAATATGCATGACACACCAACTTTTTCTTTATCCCCTTTTATTTTACAAGTGAAGATATAAGTTCAAGCAAAAGCAATGCCTACTAAATAGGCTTACCTTTGAGTGATGAAGGTTTCCTCAGATAATGCCTTCTCCAACCTCTCTTCAAATGGCGTTGCATGCCAGTTCACTTTTTGATCCTGAAAACGATGAACAAGAATGAGATGTAAATGCAATATATAGATTCAAAACACTTTCAAGTTGCAAATAATTATTACAAGTCATACTTCTTTATACTTATTGGTTGAATTTGGTATGCCATTGCCATCCCACCACTTAGGAGGAGGAACTTGAGAATCCTCATCCTCATTCCAATGTGCTGCAACCATCCCAATGATAGGCCTCTCAGCAGGAGTTTTGCGGATCTGATTATAAGCAATCTCCAATCTCTTGTTTCTTTCCTCCAGAATGACAGCAGCAGGCTTTAACCAAGAAGATAAGCTTTCTTCCACCTTAGATTCACTATCATAAGACATTTTCTTTAACGCTTTTTCAGGTGTAGAAGTTGTAACTTGAGACCGCTCCACTGATTCACTCAGCTTCCTTGAATCTTGTTCAGAGATATGATCCTCTTCCTCCAGTATCTTGTTCTGAGAGACAGCATCACCAGGGCTATAAATTGGATACACAAATTGAGACTTAACTCGAGGCTTACCATTTAGTAAGTCTTCTCTTGTTGCAGGGTAAACAGTTCCAGGAGTCTGCATCTCATCAGATAGCTTCATTGGGGTAGGATAAGGTGATGGTTTATATGCATTCTCATTATTTGGTGACTCTGTTTTCTTCATATTCCATCCACCATAATCAGACGAGTCACAGGATGATAAATCAGTGTCACATTCAAAACGTACAGACTTGTTCCTCCTCTTAGTGTATGTGGTTGATGGCCAAGGTGAAACAGAAGCTGTATTCTTGTCATTCCTATCCAAAGCATGAAGATTCCCAGTCCTAATCCCTTCCGTAGAATCAAGAGAATCACATTGAGTGCTATTTGCATTGGAGATACAGCTGCAAATGAAAAGAAATTAACTTATGCAGACAAGGTACTACATAATTTTCAGAAATGGACCATGTATGACCGAAATACATGTGTGCATTCAGTCAAAATCTCATACAACATTCCTGTGTAAAGAAAATAAAAATCTAAAAGGGAGAAAATGTGAATCACTTTCATCATTCTTTAATAGTAATGAGCAGCAACTGTTAACTAGGTGGCCTTCCCATTGTTCTAACCAAATATCCACCTTCTATGAAATTGACTAAAATGTTACTTGCAGACATTCATTATTATTCAATATCAGCATGAAAAAGATTCAACACAATGACATGAATAACCTGCTTGGAGTGTGCTCTAAAGAATCAGTTCTTTTCCCCCATTCTTCGCAATGTTTTATGGGAGTTGGGGGATTGAAAGGTTCACAATTGAGCTGAACTTTCTCGGCAGGGGTCTTTGACACGGTACTCAAAGGTTTGAGAACCTTTGCCTGCAAAACAAGTTTATCTAACCTTACAAAACAATTCAATTTACAAAGCATATATAAATGTGCACTCATATGAAGTAAGAATCAACAACTTGACAAAATGATAAAATAATGACTAGTGTTGTTGAAAAATCCTGTACAATGAAAACAAAGTTAACTTGTGATAAACAAAAATTATTTTTTACAAATTCAAAAACAACTTTACAGAAAAACTCTATCAAGACACTTTTTCTTGCCCCAGCAAGGCATCAGTTATCTCAGATTGATATTACAAAGATTCATGTGCCTGAAGCTGCATATACTAGAAAAATTATACACGGTTCATAAATGCATATCAGGAATAGATCATGGAACTCGCATAATGATAATAGGATCCATCATCATCTTCACCAGAAAATTGTTACCTTCAGCACAAATGTAATCAAGGGCATGCTCCAGAGAATGTGTCAGCAGACTTAAACCCAACAATATCCACCAATAATTTGTCATAGAATAAATTCATTTGTTTTACCAAAATAAGAACTGAGCCCAGTGGCATCGTGTGATCCACGTAGCTCACCTCACATACTAAAGGCTCTGCTGTTGTTATAAAAAAAAATCCTCCAATGCAGAAAAATCACAAACAAAACAATAACAACATTGAAAAAACAGCAAGGTTCAGGGTGTGTGACCAAAATGTAGTTCCTTTCATCCAGTGTTATAAACACTTGATTTGATCCAAATATCAGTTGATACAAATTGTCAATTAGAATTGATCAAAGGTTCAAAACTTCAAAAGTGCTACTTTATTTATAAAAGTACTGAGAATGTAATCATTATTTTGTCATCTTGTGGCCACTATTTCTACACATGCTGCTGTTAAGTAAGGTCAGTATATCTACAAGTCATCTTCAGTTAGAATCTGGAGGTAGAAATACACAATGCCAGTGTCGTGGTGAGTGGCACACTAACTGTGGTCACCAAATGGACTAAGTCATAGCACTTCATGCCATTCCACAAGTTAGAGCTACTACTGCCTACCGTAAACATAACTGGCCCAAATTTTAAAACCTCATTTTACTTCAAACCAGAAACTATAGATTCCATCTAGTTCAATGCAGTGGCATTGAGAATAACATCATCAATATTACAGCCTCTTTAAAAAATTGAAAAACAATGTAAAATGACAAGAAGTTAGATTCCTCGTGCTTAAGTTCCTCTCTATCTCTTAACAATTGGACAGAATTGAAAAAAACCAACCGAGTCCTCCAAATTCTGGCCATTCTCAATTATTTTTGAGAATGTGTGCTTATAATTCCATGGTATATTATGAATACGTAGCAAATTACTCTTGGTTGCTCCACTCATTTTGCTTCCATTTCAACTCATCTATAATATTGCCTACAGTTCCATAAAAACCAAACCTACCTAGCGTCCTGAACTCTTAAAGCATGCATTTGTTATAAAGTTACAAAATCAATTCTCCCACTTACAAACCATGTTTGAAAGTGAAAAGCAAACGCTCCAAAGCAAATATGTGATTCAGACAAATTTAGGAACAAACACATTTATCAACTCAAAATCAATTTAGCAAACTCTAAACTAAACAAGTAGTTAGCAGAGTTCTCAACTGAAAAATAAAAAATAAAAAATCAAACATCTTCCTTTTCCCTCACGACGTGTAATAACAGGAACAAAATGCCACAACACCCAGCAAACAAAAAACAGAAAAATCCAAACTCCAAACAGCAAAACATGAAAGAATAATCACAATCACACATCCAAAAAACAATTACGGCTACATCAACACTTAGCAACAAAAAAACACACCTCATCTTTAAAACCCTTGTCATCTTTCTGAGATCCCACTTCAAAATTCTTACCATCCTCACGCACAGCTTCTTCTCTCTCTTCTCAAAAATTTAAACCACAGAATTATTAAACACCGAAAATCGAGAAAACCACAACAGTAACATGAAATTAAAAAAATAAGAACAAAACTAAATTAAATGAAATGAAATTTACCTTCAGATAGAAACAAAGTTGATAAACGATTTCGAGAGACCTCAACATCCTGGTTTACACAGCAAAATCAAAACCCTCACATCACAAAAATTATAATCACATAAAACTCTTACAAAATCAGCTCAATTCAATGACCGTCTGAACTTTACTTCTCCATTCCGAAAATAAAAAAATAAAAAAAATGAAGTTACGATTGATTGTTAGTTACTTTGGGATTGTTGGGACAAGAAGAAGGTACTGTAGCGGTGGTGGAGTCGCGAGCTCTGAAGCAAGCGAAGAAGCAACCCATGGTGGTTCGGGAGAAGGATCGGAACACGAACCACAATGTCGAACCTAGGCACTATAACCAGAGCGTATCATTGACGAGGACCCAAGCCAGGTAAGGTAACGTTACGTTTTTTGTATTATTATTTTATTTTAATTATACTTTTCTTTTATTTTTTGGGATTTGGATTTGAACGAAGAATGAGAGAGAGAGAGAGAGAGAGTGTGTGTGTGTGTGTGTGAGTGTGAAGTGAGGAGTGAGGTGCGAGTGCGGAATCGATTTTGAAATTTGAACTAACGAAGGGAGCGAGCGAGGGAGGGAATGCACGCACGCTACTGTGCCCTGCTTTGGTTCCTTTTCCCACTCGCTACGCGTTTGGTGGACTTGAAACTCGCTTCTGTTTGGGACACGTGGCGATCCTGCCGCTTGGGACGGTGGGTTTGAGGCGGCGCGTGTGCGTGCGTGGGGGTGTAAGGTGTGAAATTAGAGTGAGTGAGTATGAATGTTTTTCGTTCTTCTCGTGTCTTAAATAAGAATGTTTTTTGAATGGAAGTCTATAATAATGGAAATTGAAATTTTTAGCTCAATTCTTCTCTCATCATGTGCTCTACAATACTTCTTTAGCTGATTTATAAGAGTTTGTAAAAATTAGTTAACTCAGTATTAAAAAATAAATAATTTTAATAAAAATTTGTATTAAATTAATAATTTATATTTTTATTTAGTTAATTAATGAAAATGAGAAAACTAATTGTGATTAGCTATTTTTCTTATTTTTATGAGAGAGAGCTTAAGAAATTAATTTATCATATTTAATTAAGGACATTTTATAAAAGATTTACATGGAACCTTGTAAGAAAGATCAAAAGAAACTTCTCACAAATTTTTTATAAAAAGATCAGAACTAGTACTTCTTTTATTATTTTCCATTTCGTTAATTATTTTTTATTTATTTTAATTATTATTTTATTAAATTAATAAATTATTCCATTTTATTTTCTCTTTCGTAATTAATTAACGCGTAGTTAATATGAAAGATAAAGGATATGTTAAAAGTAGTTGATATTTAAAAAAGAAATACTAAAAAGCAGTAATTGTATATCTTAGTTCTATACTGTAATTTTAAATGATAAAAAAATAGAGTGAGTAGAAACAAAAAGTATATTTTAAAGGATAAATTATCGTTATAGTTATTAATTAAAATTAAATTGTTGGTTATTACTTTTAGATGGTGCCTATTTTAGTATTTTTGGAAAGATGATATAAGAGTTAAAAGAAATTTCTCTTAAAAAAGGAAAATACATATATTAAGGATAAATTATTTTTAAAAATATTATTTTAAAATAATAGTTAATTTTTTATCTTCATAAACAAAATAATTTTTTTACATATGAATTGATTATAAATTTACAAAATATTCTCATTTATTTTTAATTTTATTTGGGCAACAGGTAGTATTTGTATCGTTACTATAATTATTATTATATTTTATCGAATTTAAAAGTTTTATTATAATAATAGTTTATTATCGTAATCATTAATGTTATTATCTTTAATTTTATTTATAATAAATAAATATATAATTTATTAAATAAGTAAAAATAATAATTATAAATAAATGATAAATATTTTATTAATACAAAATTTATCATAAAATAATAGTACAAAAAATTATTAATTAACACATCTAATTTTTTATTTTTTATATTCAAAATAAAAAATAGTTTTATTATAATTATCATCACCATAATTATAGCCACTATTTTTATTATAATCACAACCACTGGAAGGTAGAATTGTTATTATTATCGGTATTACTTTGATAACCTATTTATTTAATATTTATTTTTAATTTTAATTAAATTTGTTTAGAAAAAATATATATTTATAATAATATTTTATTTAAAACAGACTTGAGTATAAAATTTTATTCCAAAAAAATCATAACATTTGTAAGAAAAATTAAGTGATAATCTAATGTATTTCATAGAATTTTGTTGGAATTTTATTTTTAAGAATTTTATTACCAAAAATCAATTTAGTTAAATAAAATATTCATTTCACCCAACGTTACCTCAATTTATAATTATAAATATATTTGATTTTTTAGACTTTGATGGAATGCATAATGAAATAAGAAAAATTAAATAAACTTGTAATAGACTAAAAAAATCACTGGTTTAGATGAATACAAAGATAAATATTTTTTATTTTGATAATATAAATATAATTTAATAAAAATTAAATATTCTAATATAAATTTTTTAATATTTTTTTAATTGTTAAGGTTTTATACTATTTTAAAAGACAAAACTCACGGTCCCTCCCACTCAAAATCATGGCAACAAGGTTGAGAAGATAAAAAAAATATAAGACCCACTTTTCTCTTTTCTTTTTTCATAAAAAATATTATAATTTTTTACAAAATTATTCCTCCGAGTTTTATTTTTTATTTTACAAAATCACCCCATTTAAACAAATTATGAGTGGTATAAGAGCTTAAATTTTTCTTTTTAAGAAGAGTTTACGAATTGTAATTTGAAGAAAATGGTAAAGTAATATCATCTTTAGTTTTCAACAAATATTTATTTTTTATTATTAACCAATCACATAAATTAAGTAGTCTTCATTCTTTATTATATAACAAGTCTCTTCAATTCGTGAATGTGCAAACTATATATTTTTTTTATTTTTCTTGGGTTCATTTTATATATACTACCATTATTCCCCTACCAATTATTAGTTTTTCGATTAAAAAAACTAAGACCTTGGTAACTCACTGGTTAAGAACTCTTAACTCCCATTTAACATTAACATATACACGTCAAGTATACATCAAACTCTGTACTTTCGTGCTTGGTTTCTAAACCATGTTTGCATTCATACCATATTTGCTATTTATTTAAAATCAAAGTTACTTCAAATTGAAAAATTAAATTCCTAAACCATACAAATATTCAAAAACATCATGTGTGCAATAAATGTAGGTTCTATGATGTCGGTTGGTGAAAGGACTGCAATTAATACAAGGTTCTATGATGATGTGGCAATAAACTTTGTCAAGATTGATGATGGAAGGTAACTGCTGCTTAAAGTTGTATTTCTATGATATTCAAGTTGGCAAACTTGCTTTGTTCATAAGATAGTTCTAAGCTCAACTCCTTTGAGAAATTCATTGTTATACATGTTTTGTATCATCACTCTCAATTGAGTGTGGTATACACAAGAAATGACGTTTCTCAATGCTTTTTTTTGGTCATGTTACAAGCTAGAGGCTGTGCTTTATTACTAGTGTCTTGGTATTGGTTTGATCAATTAATCTTTTAAAAGTGCTAATAATTGAATATTATTTCATTCTTTTTGTATCTTTGCTTAAAAGTATCAGTTGTAAAGCCTCGTGTTTGGTATCTATAACAAGATAATAATAAGAAGTGTATGATGTGCAAGAATTTTAAGGAGTGGGTTAGTGGAGCCAATATAGAAGATCTTATAAAAATAGTTTATAGTTTTTTATGTTTATTTATTTCAATAAATTTTGTAATATAATTTAATAAAATAAAATATTTTCAAATTCTTTTAATATGGTCTAATTTATAAGATAAGCTCTCAAGTTAAAAAAAAAAAACAAATTCCATAACTGTTTAATTATATTTTATTTTTAGTGATATTCCTAATAAAGGATTATGAGATTTAGGTGCTTGTTAATTTAATATGGATTAGTTAATGTGTATGTCACTTTAGTTTGGACTTATAAACTAGGCTTTGAGTATAATTAACCTGCAATTAGGTTATTTTTACACTTTTGCTTAAGCTAGAAATTTTTTTAAAGCAAATGATGTCTTTTTTTTTTTTTGGTCAACATAGTTGAATAAGGTTTGAACATAATTAGTCAACTTGTGCAAACACATTGGGTCAGAGAAAAAGAAAACACTTACTTTTCTAATAGGTTAAGGCTTAGGTTGTAAATTATAATCCAAACACAGTGGGTCAGGCAGTGGAACTGGATCACATGTAGAGTATGATGAACATTTTTGTGGTCAGTACTATATAAAGAGATATTGATTCATCTCATGTTGCATTGTTTAGTTGTGGGGTTGGAAGTTCATGCTAAGAAAATTCAAATTTTGGGATGCTGAATAAAGGAAACTGATTAAACCATGTAGGGAAAGTGTTTGATGAAAGTAGGGCCACCCCAGAAGGGGAAGAATCAATGAAATTTTGAGACCCTTGAAAAATCACAAATCCCCTCAAATGTTGAGATTTTCATGGGGTGGGAAGCTACATTTAATCATCAATTGTTGATTATACACCCATTTGATTAAAAATGATCTAGGTCTTTCTGTATAACTCAAAAAGATAATTTTAATTCTAGAAACAAAAACATATCATCAATCAACCCCTCACATAAAAACTTGTAATAATTTTGTTCTCATATCCATTTATGAGATAACCGTAAATATATATATATATATATATATATATATATATATATATAATAAGTGTGAAAAAAATGAAAAATGAAAAATTTAAACACTTATTTTTAAATAAAGTGAATTTAAGATTTATTTTTTTCTTTAGTCAATCATGTATTTATCTTGCATTAAGTACTTTATTTTTTTAATATTTTTTATTCCTTTTAAGGTTTATGTTAACAATTTATTTTCATACAATAAAATATATTTTAAACAGGCTAATTAATGAGTATTTTTTTTATTAGGATATTATTTTTATGTATATAGAAATGGTTTGGTGTATTTGCATCGCAAGAGATGTTAGTTAAATGGTGGGTGGTTTTTATTTGAAAGGTGGAAGAAGATGATTTGGCGAAGGGCTTCTTGGGCTTTGTGATGTCTAAAAACGACACATTTATGATTTAGGATGTTTTTATGTCCGATAAAGAAAGTGTAGACGAGCTTAGAATTATATAAGTAATTTATAAAATAATATTAAAATTAAATATTATTTATTTATTATCAAATAAATAAATAAATAATTATAAAATAAATAAATTTCTTTTCATATACATCTGCATATAAAATATTTCAAAGTATATAAATATATTTATATACAAGAGATCATAAATCACATAAAAAATAAAAAAATAAAAAAGAAGAAATCATCATAAAAATAAAGAGAATAAAAAAAATAAAATTAATGTATATACATAAAATTTTAATATATGATAGATAAATTATCTTTTTTTTTTAAATTTAAAGAGATAGATATTTTAACTTATGAAGAAGTTTTGTTTATTTTTTATATTATCATTTTTTTACAAGGACTACAAGTTTATTCAAATATAACTTAAATCAATAAATTATAAACTACCTGTATCAAACATAATCTAAATATATAATTTTATTTAACTGTTTATTTAATAATTTATTTTTGAATGATAATTAATATTTTATTAATGTAACTTAAAAATTTATTTTAAAATTTATATATAAAAAATTATTAATATAAAATTTAAAAAATTAGAAAAATCAATGCTATTTGTGTAAATTATCAATAATTTTTTTCAAATAAGCACTTAATAATAATAATAAAATGCTACAACTTCAGCTATAGCCAGATGACTTTTTCATGAATTTGACTAACTTCAACTTTTAGAGTGAAGTTTAAATTTTTAAAACTTATAAGTTCTTGATAAAAAAAACTATATTTATTATATTAAAAATATAAAAGTGTAATAAATATTTTTTTAATAAAATTTTATCATTATTAATCATTTAAATTTAATTTTAAGAATTAAAGATAACATTCTCCAAGCTCTATCAAGACTAAAGACCTGCTTTGTGGGGGGTTGTGTGGAGAGGATGTGGAAGGAAAGGAAAGTAAGACTGAAACGATGGCTAATTCTACTAAGTGCTATCCTTGAATCAACCATTGATGTTTTCCTTTAATGGGTGCGTTTTGACAGTGCTGCAAATAGCTTTTTCCATCAAGTCTTCTGAGAAGCAAGCTCAACCAAAACGCCAAGATCATTCGACACTTCTGCGTTGCCCATGGTAGAAGGAGATTGATGGTTGGTTTGGTTTGATGGTCATGGTGGTAAGGTAGACAAGTGTGGGGTTGTTAGGATAATATGATGTTTTCTTATTTATGAGCTCATGAGTTAGGGGCTTTGGAAGAACATTAAAGGTCTTTTCGTTATTAAAATTTATTAAAGTGATCACTTGTAATCTTTTCATAGTTTATTTTAACAAATTTTATGATATAACTCTTTGAAATAATATTATTTCAATGCTCTTTTTCATTTTCAACAAGCATCACATAAGGTTTAATATCAAGTCCTTGTTATTATATGCATTAAGTTGTTTATCTAAATTTATCTTTAATAGAGTTCATGATATATGCAAGGATTTACTGTTGTATTCTAGTATCTCCTTGGTTTATTATTTAAAATATAAGCAAATAGCTAGTATTAGATTATATACTTATAAATATTTAAATTATATAAAAAATTATATACATAATTTTGTGATAATATTACAATAATTAATAACTGGATTGATAAAAATTGCTTTTTATATTAATTATTGGAGATATAATGGTTTTTTTTTACATTATAATATCATTGGATGTGTTTCTAAATTTATTTTATTATTTTTAAGAAAAAGTGTATCTTCATAAAATTAAAAAATAAATTTAATAATAGAGTTATATAAGATTAAAGTGAGAATAAATGATAAAATATATAATATAAACTTGGCTTTTTTAAAAGTTTTAAATAAGGATAGATTTGAAAAGTATTGTAAAAGCTAGATATGGAGATTGTGTATAAATATATTAGAGTGTCACTAACCTCAACTTCTATCGTAGGGAACTCAAGGAATACACTCTTGGGCTTGGCTTAAACATTGTCTTTTGCCACTTGGCAAGTAGAAATTTCCTTAATGTGTTTTATTTAATATTTTTAATTACTTACAAAAACAAATAATAAATTTTTTTAATAATTTTGATATCCTTTTACATTTTTTTAAACTATTGTCCAAACTAAAACAACATTGTTGATTATTATTTATTGAATGCACTTTGATTATGGAACAGCCCATGCAAGTGTGATGATAACATTTTGAATAAGTCAAATACATCAATCACGTCAAGAAGATGAAAATTAAGTAAAGTAGTTTAGAGTAGAGGAATCAACAACCGATTAGTTGACCATAAACCTTGTGAGAAAAAGACATAACTTTTTGTTTGTACTTAAGAAGGTGAAGATAGCTAAGAAAAAGGTTACAGAATAAGGAGGTCCCTGCTTGCTAGGGATACAGGTATGGCTGAATGAAGTAAGCTTCCAAGTTTCTCATTTGATTAATTAAGAGGAACTGTTAATTTGATTTGGAGTTAGTGAAATCTATTATACTTTCAACATAATGATACATAAAAGATTATTAAATAATTTTTAAGTTATATCATTGTACTTACATTTAAACTACCTAAAATTACAACTTTCTTACATTATTTAGTATTATTTTTGTTCTTATTTATCTGTTTAGAAAAAAGAAAAAATATTTTTATAAGTCTATTTATGAAAAAAATTTAACATAATATTAATGATTATTCTTTTACTAATATCATTTTGTTCATATAAAATATTTATAATATTTAAGTAGTTCAACAATTAAAAGGAAATCTATTAATAAAAGATAAATTAATAAATTTAGTATTAATGTGTATGTGAATCTCCTAGCGGGAATTATGACAACTTAACTTATAATTTTGAGTTTAAATTTTAATGAATGCAATTATATTAAATACTTGTAAGAAGAATTTTGAATGAATGATATTTGTGATTTATATAAAAAAAATTAATAAATTTAGTAATTAATTTTAATAAAATGTTAGGTTTTTTAGTTAGTATAATTTTTTTCCTTTTTTTAATAAAAAATAAAAATATAAAATGAGTTTAATAGTTAAAATCAATAACTGGGTTATTTATTTATTTATTCATGACTGTAAATGAATGAGACTATGGCACATTTTCATATTACATTTATGCAGTAAATTAGATCACATGCTTTTGCTATCACACTTTGTTAAAAAATGCAAATGAAAATTATCAATGATGATCCTAAATCTCCTGTATCTTCAACAGTAATTATATTAATTTTTTAAACTTATATAATATGTTTGATGATGAATTTTTTTTTATTAAAATTATAAAATTTAAGGCAAATTAATAATAAGATACGGTTAAATATTACATTTTTAATAAAAATTTATTATATATAATTTTTTTATCTTAATTAATCTTGTACAGATTTAAAAAATTGTAACTAGATTAAGGTAATTAATTCCTGAACTCTTAAAGTGAGTAAGATGATCATTAAGCAATATGTAGAGAGTTTCCGACATATGCAAAACCTTAAGATCTTTTATAACAATTGAGTCAACAAGCTTTAATTTCTTTCGGGCTTAAACTGGATATTCCTAAACCAATAAATGTGCTACTAATCCTTAGTTTGATTGTAAAGTAACGTTAATTACTTTTATTTTTTTTTTATATTTTATTTTATACTGCTCTTGATATGAAAAATTGACCTATTACATAGACAGGGAATATTTGTACAATAATTGAACAAGGTATCTTGTTAAGCATAAAAGCAATTGAAATACTATTCTTGTATTTTTTATAATTCACACACAAATATATATATATATATATATATATATATATATATATATATATAAATTTGTTATGTTTTTACTTTCTCTTTTTTTTCATCTTTTTTTTCTCTACCCACGTCACACATAAAAAAAAATGAGGTATCAAACAATAATTTTCCTTAGAAATGTCTAGGAGGATTTGTTCGCACTCTCGTACATCTACTATGATATATTTTTTAATTAAAATAAAGAAATTGAACTAGATGAACCAACATTGACTAGAAATTCACCTGTACCATCAAACTATGCTTATAAAAATCCACAATACCTTTAATTAGAACTGCACCAACAATCAAAACAACTTTGAAAAGCCCTTGATCACATCTTATCCAAAAATGGGTGCTAAAAATGGTGACTTCACCGTGAGTGTGATCAATGAAGAAGTGGTGGCAGCAGTGCTACCAATGCAAGAACATTGGCTCCCACTCTCTAACCTTGACCTACTTCTACCTGCTGTGGATGTAGGAGTCTTCTTTTGCTACAAGAACCCCACCATGCCAATGTTCACCACCCTAGGGGAAAATGGCACTAACAAAGTGACCTTTGGGTCCATGGTGGGGACCCTTAAGAAGGCCTTGGCTCAGGCTTTAGTCTCCTATTATGCCTTTGCAGGTGAAGTGGTTCATAACTCTGTGGGTGAACCTGAGTTGCTATGCAATAATCGTGGGGTTGATTTTGTTGAAGCTGTGGCAAATGTTGAGCTTCAGTGCCTCAACTTTTACAACCCGGATGATACTATTGAAGGGAAATTCGTTCCAAAGAAGAAGCATGGTGTGCTTGCTGTTCAGGTACTATAAAATGTAAAAGAACTATGAAAATACTAATTACTAATTATTAGCATTGCATAATGCCATTGAAAATATGAACATGTATGCATGAGTTCGATGCTCATGAAAAGTAAGCAAAAAGATTTATCTCTCAACATAAAGTACATTTTATGCTTAAAAATGGTGTATATCTATGTCAATATCTACATCAGTTTTATTTTGAATTATAAATAATTAACACCATGTTTGGCTCTAAATATAACAAATTTTTATATGTTTTAAAAATTTAACACAGAATTTACTCAAATATTTTATCTAAAAACAAGTGAGTGTATGTTAATAAATCTCGTCATGCAAATCACATTTTGGAAAGTATATAATGAATTAATGATTGAAATGAATAATGTTAATAACATACTATTTAATATATTTTTTAACACATTTTATTATTAATAAAAATTTATTAAAAATACAAAAATTATTTTGGTCTAACTCTTTCTCATTTTTAAATTAATATTTATTTATTATATATTTTTATTTTTTAATAAATTTTGGTCAATAATAAAAAATATACTTACAAAATATATTAAAAAGTGTGTTAATAGCATCTTTCTTTCCTAAATATAACATCATAGTTGATCACGTTGAAAAAATGGTGTTGGGCAGTGCAGAAGAATGTGGGTAAAGGAAGAGGATAGAGAGGAGGCAAATAATAACATTTTCAATTGTTTAATCAAATGAGTGTAGTTAATAACTTATACACAGGTAAATAGATAAACAAAGAGAGAATTACCTTTCTTATGCATTGTACTTAAACATATAATGTTACCAAGTCTAAGAGTTTTCGTTTGGGGTAAGTCTTCTCGCAAAATCTTCAGATTTATAAGGTATTTCGTTGTTTTAAGTTTTCCATGAAATAAACTTCTATTATGAAATGTTTTATATAATGTATAATACATATCATAGACTAATCTAGTATACTTATTAATTACAACAATACATAAAATTAAATATAATATAAATTTATAACATATAATTGTTATTTTTTTAATTTTAATAAATTATTTTTTATATTTCTTATACATATTTAACTGACGAACCGAAACAGCAGGTCTTACCACATTAGAAGGCTCATAATTATTAGTGTTTGATGAATCCTATGAAACTACGATAATGTTTAAATGAAGTAGTTCACCGGCACTTGTTCCATTGATGCCTGCAACTAAGAGACACTACAAATATTTAATATTTGTCTAAGAGCAAAGTCACATCCATCTACAACTAACAACTGTAAACCTATCTTCTTCTTCTTCTCAAAAGCAAAAGCCTAAGATTAAGTAATTTTTTTGTTTCTATACTGATTACTATCATTATTATTGAAAGAAATATAATAATCATTTCATACTTTATTAATAAATGGCAATTCGAGAAAGAAAATAAATAAAAAAATTAATATGATGATAAAGAAACAAATAAAAATTTACTAAAGAGTTTTGTTAACTCAAGCTCATAAGTTTAGTACACATTTATTTTTTTAAAAAAAAGAAAAACTTCATTTAATATATTAAAATTATGAAAATATAATGAATTAATATTTATTTTTGATAAAATTTTAAAAAATATTGTTGCAACCAAATAGTTTCTCTTAGTACCATAAAAGTGATATTTTATTTTTCTATCATCATTATCATGATCGTTCGTCATTATTGTTATGATTATTTTGATAATTACAACAATATATGAACCACTAATATGCAGGCAACTTCACTAAAATGTGGGGGAATAGTAGTGGCATGCACATTTGATCATCGCATAGCTGATGCCTACTCAGCAAACATGTTCCTCGTATCATGGGCTGAGATGGCCCAGCCCACCAAGCCCAACACCATCGCCACCGCCACCGCCACTTCCCACTACCCATGTTTCCGCCGCTCCCTCCTCAGCCCTCGCCGCCCAATAGGTTCCATCCACCCTTCCCTCCACCACATGTACATCCCCATCTCCACACTTCCTCCTCCTCCGGCCACCGCATCCACCACCACTCTCCTCAGCCGCATTTACTACGTCACCGCGGAGCAGCTCCACCGCATTCAGTCCCTGGCCGCCGGCACCAGCAACAACACGAAGCCCACAAAACTTGAGTCTTTCTCCGCATTCTTGTGGAAGATGGTTGCACGTGCAGCTTCAGGGGACAAAAATAGCAAAAGGGTGGTGGCCAAAATGGGCATAGTGGTTGATGGAAGGAAAAGACTAATGGGCAATGGTGACAAAGAGAAAGAAACAACGATGGAGTGTTATTTTGGAAACGTGCTTTCCATACCCTTTGGAGGGAAACCGGTGGAGGAATTAGTAGAGAAGCCATTAGGGTTTGTGGCCGATGCTGTTCATGAGTTTTTAACTGCAGCGGCCACAAAAGAGCACTTCTTAGGGCTCATTGATTGGGTGGAAGCTCATAGGCCGGTCCCTGGATTGGCAAGAATTTATTGTAATAACGCCGACGAGGGACCGGCCTTTGTTGTGTCCTCCGGGCAGAGATTTCCGGAGAACAAGGTGGATTTTGGATGGGGGAAGGTTGTGTTTGGATCCTACCATTTTCCTTGGGGTGGTGAATCTGGTTATGTTATGCCAATGCCTAGCCCTTTAGGGAATGGTGATTGGGTTGTGTACATGCACCTTTGGAAGCAGCAGTTGGAGATCATAGAGTGTGAGGCTGCTCATGTCTTTAGGCCCTTAACTTGGGATTACCTTAATCAGTAATAATCATTGGCACGGTGTTGATGGTAATTAAGTTGGTGTACTTGGGATTGTGTTCGTTTGAACGTTGGTTTATTTTTTGCTATATATTATATGTTAGGTGGGTTGGTTAAGTTTGTAAAGCATGAAACACTGTTGGTTTGGAAGGGTTTTGTGTTTAGGTGTGTGAATATTGACGGTAAACCACGGATTTGATCATTGATATGGTTTTGTTCCCTTAATTGGAATGGATGTGGGGCATCATCATTCGCTTAATTACTTGTTGAAAAATGTACAAAGTTAATCGACATAGTCCTGTTGACCTGAAAGTTGAAACTAGTCCTCTAAATAACGAGTTTTTTACTCTTCCATGAAATCAACTTTTCCCAAAAAGCAAAAGAAAGCATTATTTTTTCAGTTCATCGAATACTTCAATTCTTTGCAAAAAGTTGGCCAAAATTCCATCTTATAATTGAATTTGTTTAATTTAAGTGAAAGTCTTATTAGCAGATTTTGGATTGAGTTGGGTTAGGTGGTGGGGTTGGGGTATTAAATTTTATTATTAAGGGCCCATTTAAAAGAATTTGTAAACCAACACATTCTAAATATACATGTACTCTACTTTTATTCTATTTTTGTAAGTTGGATCGGTTATTAAAACAACTATTTTAAATATAAAACTGTTTCATTAATTTTGTGATGCATTTTAATGATGTTTGTATAAGAAAAAACAAATGAAAATAAAATAATTATAGGTCCATATTTCATATGATATATATATTTGTAAATATTTAAATAATAATTTTTTTTGCACTCAACACCATTTGGAGCTAGAGGGGATAGCTACTGTGCCACCAAAGGAATTGGTTGACTTCTCTGAGCAATGAGTATTTGGAGCCTTTGTTTTTTGGTAGAATGAAGAGTTGACATCAGACAACAAAAAAAAAAGACTTAATGTCCTAACTTGTGAAAGCCCATTTAGAAACATGCCTAGTTAAACTCTAATGCAAATTAAAAAAAAAAGAGAACAATTGTTTCAATCTCTTTTTAGAATTAATCTCAATCGTCCATTAAAATCCAAAAGCCCAAACACATGTTGATTCTTCACTCACCAAATTAGAGTATGCACATAAAAACGTTTAAGTTCAATCCAGCAAAATCAGTGAATGCATCTGAATCTCATGATTGAGAATTATTCTTTTGGAATTTGCGTGGGGATTGTAAGAATTTCATGGTTCTAAAAACTAATAATATGACATAAATTTAAAAATAAATTTATGAAAAATAGTTAAGCATTGTAATTTCATTAATATAAAGTCTTAAAAGTATGAGTGAGATGTTACTTTTATGAAAAAATTTTACCCGCATAAATTCAATTTAGATTGAATTGAATCGATTTTCAAAATAGAATATGAAATTCAATCCAATTTAATAAAAAGTTTCAGCTTTTATAATTTTCAGTTTGTTAAATTTTTTGTTAATTTAACTTTTGGTTCAGTTTTTGTGGTTTGCATTGAATTGAATTGGTTGATAACACATCTAAATGATAAAAATTAATCCATAAATAACTTTTCTTATAAAGATCAAAATGTATTTTTTACTGTAAAGACTAAAACAAAAAATGATGTCAATGAAACTAAATTTATAATTAAATCTAATCTTTTCTATACATATATATATATATATATATATATCTTAAAAATACATTTTAAAACATTAAAAAAATCCTAAATATATCTTCTAATTATATATTTGGTTAGCTTTACGGTTAGGAATGAAATGAATATGTTGTGGAAAAAGATGAGTTTAGAAACTCTTGCTTTTGTGGTGTGTGATATAGCGTAACTTTGAGGTATATGCAACATTTTAAATAAAAATAAAAGAGTCAAATAACTTTCATTATATTTTATTTTTTATACATTTTTTTATCTATTTATAAAATTTAAATAACATAAAAATACATTAATTATATTCTCATTAGTTATCTGTCAAAATGTAGGGTGAGAGACTTTCTTTCAAAAATTTTGTTAACCTTAATATTAATTTCTTTCAAAAATATAATTTGTTGTACTTTTATATTCTCAATATAATAAATATATTCCATCTCAAAAAAAGTACATCACTTTTAGTTGTCTCGCCACTAAAATTATAAAATTAAAGCTAACACTTTTTTATAATTAAAAAATTATAAAAGCTAAATATAATTATACAAGTAATTAACGTTACAAAAATTAAAATTCCATATAAATTAATATATAACAGCAAAAAGTACAATCAATCTCAATTTTTAACTTTGCATGCTAAAAAAATAAAGAGTATACATAATCTGCAACATGTTTAGGTTCAAGTTTGAATGAAGAACAAATAAGAATTAATTTTTATTGAAGCATGGAATTTTATACAAAAGTGACAATATAGAAAATTTAAAAAAGAAATGTTCTTGAACAATGCTCATATTGGTGGTCATGGAGAATAGAACAAATAAACACAAGTTGATTTTAACCCCATAAAAAAATTACATTGAAAAGACAAGTGACATTTGTTTGATTGCAACAACAACCTTTGGCTCAAAATGGCTAGTGTGGCCACTCCTTGATCCCAAGTTGTCTCAAACATATTCACCACAAACTTGGGAAGAAAAGGGAACCCCTTTTAATTAGGATTCTAAAAGTTCACGAAAGCATGCACTTGGACAAGAGAAAGAATAAGACCTATTCAAGTTATGGTCACCTTCATGACACGACACTTAGAAAATCTTACACTTTGAAATTCCGTGCCTTAAATGCTTGGAAATAGAAGCACCACAACGTAGACGAAAGCATGACCGGGAATTCCAATGTACCCGAAGAGAGGAATCAAATGTTGATAAATCATTTTATTTGAAAAATAAAAATATTTTGTTGATAAAATTTTGTCCTATATCACGTCATGTCTCATTTAATCAATGATAGTCATTATATTTTACCATCAAATAGTTATCACATTATTTTTTACAGTTCATTTTATATATATAGCTGTGGAATTAAATAAAAAAATATAAGGAACCCATTAATTCAATAGTTAAAATTGCCAACTTGTTCTATAAAATGTTCTTACTAAAAAATTTTGACAAGTTAGCATAGTTGTATGTTTAAACTTCACGTGTATTGATTGACCAAGATAAAGATTGTTCTTGGTATTAGGTGTTTAGATATGGTAGTTAATGGTGATTCTTAGTTGTGAAATGACCATAATAAAGGTATTTCTTTTAGAAATACTCTAATGTTCAAGTTAATGGAAATTTAACAAAGGTGCATGTATAATAATGGAATTAATGTGTACTTGTATTCGTGAAATTTTCTCTTTAAATGAATATTAGTTTGTTTGTAGGTTGGCATATTTGGCCTTATCACCGTTTGGTATGGAATATTAAGTTTATTGAATTAAATTCTTATGGCACAAACTCACACATATAACATATTCTTGTTAAATAATTACTTAATTAAACTATTTATCTAAAACAGATCCTAATCATTGATTAATGCAAAAAAGAGTTAAAAAATTACTTACCTCATTCCAGAAAAGTTAAAGGATATAATCCTAAATAAAAATTTGAGTGTCCAACAATAATTACTTATTTGGTACATTTCAGAATTCAGACACATCACTTTAGGTAAGTGGAGGTTGCAATTACACAAATCAAAGTTTACAACTCCACGTTGACTACAATTGAATTGATGCTTAACAATAACAAGTCACTCTCAAACACATTAACCCACATGCTATTGTACAAAAGAAAACAAAACATTGGACCACAAATTCACAACCGTTAAAAAGGGTGACACATAGGTATAAATGAAAAAAATATTAAGTGGTCTGAAACTGCCACGTGTCTATGGTCTCGATGAAAACCATGATGCAATACATGACAAAGTTCATAATTTAAATTAATTTTGTTTTTTAGAAAATATTTTGACATATGTCATACAGTAATTGGCTGAGATCATAGACATGTGATAATCTAGGAGCATTTAATAATTTCTCAACGTAAAGACAAACAAGTTGAAGTTCAGGATTACTATACCACTGTCCATACATGCACCTGCGTTGGCTAAGGATACAAAACAGCATATTCCTCAAGAGATTGCCTTTGCATTTAGCTTCCAATCACATTTTTCTCTATATCCTCACAGAGAGTAATGGGCAGGTCCTAAAACTTGTAATAGCCTCACAAAGCCAACCAACACAAGTAGATCCTCTCAAAGTTACAACTACTCAAATTTTTCTCACTGTTTGAGCCATTCAAAGCAGCACCAGACGAACCAAATTGCCTAGTGCCTGCGATGTCTGGTGTTCTTCTTTGGGTGAGTTGTGGACCCAAAGAGAACCCCATTTCCTTGGTTGGTGTTTCAGGAAGAAGTGGAAGAAGTCATAGGAGGTTTGGAATGTGCAACGAGATCAGCTTTGCCAGTTTTTCACCTGCTGTTGCTGACCCTTCAAGGTCCTCAGAAGAGAGGGTCTATGAAGTTGTGTTGAAGCAAGCAGCAAAGGTCAAGGAGCAGAAGAAGGATAGAAAGAGTGGTCTGAATTTGGACAAGCCAATGGAAGGTGATTTGTCCAATGGAGATCTGTTGAATGCTGCATATGATAGGTGTGGTGAAGTCTGTGCTGAATATGCCAAGACATTTTATCTAGGTACTCTCTCTCTATTGTTTGGCCTTTTTTGGTTTTTCTTATTCAATTTTTCTTGTTCCAATGAATTTTTTACATATTTTATAGTTCATTATTATATCACTTCACATATTTAGTAACTTGAGTCATTGACCAAATCTTTTGGTTGATTCTAGAGGAATATTCTATTAAAAGATATAGAGGGATCTCTTCATTAACTTTGCACCATGCCTAAATAATGATTTCACTTTATTGCAACATGTTAATGTGATAGAAATGTTTTTTTTTTTTATTCCTAAGGCAGTGAGGGTCAAAAGTCCATTCCATGCCTCAAATTTTGGTGCTTACCCTTTGTTGGTCTATTTATTATTTCTTAGTATATGATGTCAATTTGATTGGTTCCTCGTGAAATGCAAAGCTCAGGCACACAATTGATGACCCAAGAACGCAGAAAAGCCATATGGGCCATTTATGGTATGTGTGAAAATTGATTACCTTAATTGACATGCTACAGCAACTTATCCACTGAGGCTTGTGGTCCAATTTTTGAAATTGACTACACTATGGGCATTTCAGTGTGGTGCAGAAGAACAGATGAGTTAGTGGATGGTCCTAATGCCTCTCACATCACACCAAAGGCCTTAGATAGGTGGGAGCAAAGATTATCCGATGTTTTTGAAGGTCGGCCTTATGATATGTATGATGCTGCCCTTTCAGATACAGTCTCAAAGTATCCAGTTGACATACAGGTAGATCACATGCCCAAAAACTTGAATTTGAAATTGAACCAGCTATCTTCCCTTGTTTGATAGACAAGTGGAAAAGAAAAGAAAAAATCTTTATACATCAAAATTCAAAATAGTCAACCAGGAAAATCATGGTGCTCAAAGCCACAAAACATTTGAGGATAATGCGATTTTACTTGCTTGGTTTAGCTTAGTTCGAGAAAAATGATCATTTTTTATTATAAATTTCTGAGAGAGCTTAAAACAAAAAAACAATAATTTCTCCTGAAAATTTAACTAAATATGTGTACTTCAGGAAAAAAAAATTAATGGAATTCAGTTGCTAGTTGATGCCTGAAATGTAGTGAGTAATGAGTAAGGAATTTGTGTTCCACAAGTTTTGTGGTAATTGTGTAAATTATAGTATCTAGTGCTCAATTATGTATAAATTACTTATCATTTAGCTACAATAGGAGGTACATATTTTTATTTGCTAAACTAAACCTGATCCAATTTACATTGAATTGTCTTTTTGAATAGCCTTTCAAGGACATGATTGAAGGGATGAGGCTGGATCTGAGAAAGTCAAGATACAATAACTTCGATGAACTTTACCTTTACTGTTACTATGTTGCTGGGACAGTGGGCCTTATGAGTGTTCCAGTGATGGGGATAGCACCAGAATCAAAGGCTTCAACAGAGAGTGTCTACAATGCTGCTCTGGCACTTGGCATTGCAAATCAACTTACTAACATTCTCAGAGATGTTGGAGAAGAGTAAGGAATTTTGAATACAACAATGTCTTGCATTTGAATCTAAAAACAGAAGAGAAGTTAGAATTATATCCTGCAATTTAAGGATGAGATTCATTCTAATTTAAAAACCTCAATTCCATGAAATTACACCAACAATCAACAAAAGGAAAGTTACATTTAGCATCTACAATATTCAATTTTGACTTAGGAAATCTTCAAATTAAAAAGATGTAAGGGGTGATTTGTGTAATCAAGAAGGGTATGTGGTGTTATATTGTTAAATAAATTTAGGAGGGTTTGAGTTGGGTAAAAAAAAGAAGGGGTATTAGGTGAAATTTTATTAAACCTTTTGGGGTGTAAGTATAATTTACTCTAGATTATTTGTTGGAAAAAAAGTTTTATCTTCTTGCTTAGCCATTTTGACCCCTTAGCATTCAACAGCATTATGTTATATAATCATTTCTCGTTCTTGATCTCATTGTAGTGCTAGAAGAGGAAGAGTATATCTTCCACAAGATGAATTGGCACAAGCTGGCCTATCAGATGATGACATTTTTCGTGGGAAAGTTACTGACAAGTGGCGCAGTTTCATGAAAGGCCAAATACAAAGGGCAAGGATGTTTTTTGATGAGGCAGAGAAGGGAGTTTCAGAGCTTAACTCTGCCAGCAGATGGCCAGTGTGGGCATCTTTGTTACTGTATAGACAAATTTTAGATGCTATTGAAGCTAATGATTACAATAACTTCACTAAAAGAGCTTATGTAGGAAAAGTTAAGAAGCTCTTATCATTACCTACAGCTTATGGAAGAGCATTTATAGGCCCCGAGAAGTTAACCCAAATGGTTACAAGAGGAATGTAATGTTATTCTGGTGAAAATCAAATGGCTTAAGCTTGTAAATTTTGTTCACTAGAAATCAGAAAGCTATCACGTGTACAATTTTTTCAAGTTTTAGTTGTATACATCTCAAATAAACAGTCTTAAAGAGAAATCCATTCATTATTCAGTTTGCAAGTAAATATTTTCTTTTCCTCCTCTCTCCATGAGACGCACAAGCAACATTTAGTAATTTAGTGTTATTTGTTTCCCTTCAAACAAGGTTCTAATTTGATAAACATTCCTGTTGGGGGTATCAACTCAATGCGGAAGACTGGATCGAATTTAATTGGAAATAAAGAGAAGTAAGAGAATAATGGAGACAAAATTTTAACGTGGAAAAAACTCTAAATCGGAGAAAAAACCCACGGACAACGACGAGCAAAATGATTCCACTATGTAAAAGGAAGAGTACAAAAAGTCCTCTAAAATTATGAGGACAAAGAGTAATAAATCACTCTATTTTTTCTCTCAATAAATACTCTCTCAGAATGGAATAAGAGCTACAAAATAACACTCTCAAATTTCTTCTTCTGATCAGTGAATGATCGATTTCCGTATCTCGACCTTTCATAATTCATTGCCTTTTATAGGCAAAAAAACTGCTACAGTAACTCGTTATTTTTTCAATGTTGACTGTAGCAATTTGACAAATCATGGACGGTGCCTACCAAGCGACTGTAGCAATTTGACAAATCATTGGACAGTGCCTATCAAGCGGAAAAATTGAGCCATCAATGTTGACTAACAATTAATTTTGACTAACAATCTCCACCTTGGATCAATTTTGATAAATTGCTCGATGTCGTTTAAACCCTGAAGGGTGTTCAAGTGCTGTAGAGACCAACCAAGTCCAAACAATGTTGGAACTTGGTTTTTGGAAGAGGCTTAGTAAGCATATCAGCTGGATTCTCAGATGTATGAATCTTCTGAACCACGACTTCACCCTTAGCGACAATTTCTCGGATAAAATGATATCTCACATCAATATGTTTTGTCCTATCACGATAGCGGTTATTCTTGGTCAAGTAAATAGCACTCTGACTATCACAAAACACAGTAAGAACATCCTGTGTAAGACCAAGTTCATTAATCAGACCTTTAAGCCAAAGAGCCTCTTTCACACCCTCTGTTGCTGCAACATATTCAGCTTCAGTCGTAGACAATGATGGAAGAGACTGAAGCTGAGCTTTCCAACTAATAGCACAGTTACAGAGAGTAAATATGTAACTAGAAAGAGATCTTCTTTTGTCAAGATCGCCACCATTATCCGAATCAACAAAACCTGTAACTTCAGTTGTTGCATGATTTCTATCGAATACCAAGCCAATATCAGAAGTACCTTTGAGATACCGAAAAATCCATTTTACAACACTCCAATGATCCTTTCCAGGATTATGCATATACCGACTTACCATGCTAACGGCATATGCTAAATCAGGTCTAGTGCATACCATAGCATACATAAGACTGCCAACAGCACTAACATAAGGAACGCGTGACATACGCTCCATGTCTTCCTCTGTCTCAGGACAAAGATCAGATGATAACTTGAAATGTGCAGCAAGTGAAGTAGAAACAGGTTAGCAATTAGACATATTAAACCTGTCAAGCACTTTCTCAACGTATTTTTGTTGAGATAGGAACAATTTACCAGCTTGACGATCCCTGCAAATCTCCATACCAAGAATCTTCTTAGCTGCACCCAATTCTTTCATCTCAAACTCATTATTGAGTTGAGTTTTTAATTTTTTGATCAGAGACTTGTCACGTGATGCAATCAACATATCATCAACATATAGTAACAAGTATATGTAAGATTCATCAGGAAGTTTTTGAAAATAAATACAGTCGTCATATTGACTTCTGCAATAACCTTGCCCAATCATAAAGGAATCAAACCTTTTATACCATTGTCTCGGAGCTTGTTTGAGTCTATATAAAGATTTCTTCAATCGGCAGACAAGATGCTCCTTACCAGAAACAATAAATCCCTCAGGTTGCTCCATATAAATTTCCTCTTCCAGCTCTCCATGCAGAAAAGCTGTCTTAACATCAAGTTGCTCCAATTCCAAGTCAAATAAAGCAACAAAAGCAAGCAAAACACGTATGGAGGTATACGAACAACAGGTGAGAAAATCTCATTAAAGTCAATACCTTCCTTTTGGCTGAAACCTTTAACAACCAATCGTGCCTTGCATCTAGGATCTTCAACCCCGGGAATGCCGTCTTTCTTCTTATAGACCCATTTGCATTTCAAAGGCCGTTTGCCCTTGGGAAGTTCTGTTAAACTCCAAGTACCATTCTTATGAAGACTTTCAATTTCTTCATTCATAGCCACTAGCCATTTTGAAGAATCAGCACAAGAAACAGCCTCAGTATAACTGGCTGGTTCAATGTCATTATTTATTTCTTGTGCAACAGATAATGCATATGCAATTAAATTATCATCATAAACATAATTTGCATATCTAGCTGGCTTAGTAATCGTCCTTCTTGGTCTGTTTTGGGCAATGGAATACTCCTCTTCCTGCGGCTGAATTGGAGAAGTGGTAATCTCATCAACATCATCATCACCACAAATATCAGCGCTAGACTTATTGATAGAAGAAGATGGAACATCAACATTAGGAATTGTAGATTTCAACTCCAACTCCACCTTCTCGCTAGTACCCTGCAGATTATTAGTACTAGTAGAAGAAATCACAGAAGTTTGTTTTCCAGAGGATAATAAAGCATCCTCATTAAAAGTCACATCTCTACTGAGAATTAATTTTTGTGACTTAGTATTCCATAAACGATATCCTTTAGATTCAGATGCATAACCAAGAAATATGCACTTGACAGCTCTTGGAGCTAATTTGCCATCATTGACATGTGCATAAGCAGGACATCCAAAGATTCTCAAATTAGAATAATTAACAGGATTACCTGACCAAATTTCTTCTGAAATTTTGAAATTAAGTGACGAGTGTGGAGAACGATTGACCAAGTAACAAGCAGTTGATACTGCCTCGGCCCAAAATTCACGTCGATGCCATAACCCAGCATTTGAGAGCATACAACAAGCTCTCTCAAGTAGAGTCCTATTCATTCGTTCTGCAACACCATTTTGCTGGGGTGTTCTTGGAATGGTTTTATGTCTAGCAATTCCATGATTTGCGCAGAACTCATTAAATTCACCGTCACAGAACTCCAATCCATTATCCGTTCTGAGCTTCTTGATTTTTCTCCCTGTCTGGGTTTCAACAAGAGTTTTCCACTTCTTAAAAGTGGGGAATGTCTCATTTTTATACCTGAGAAAATAAACCCAAACTTTGCGAGAAAAATTATCAATAATAGTCATCATATAACGGCGTCCTCCATAAGAGGGAACTTTAGAAGGCCCTCAGAGATCAGAATGAATATAATCAAGAATACCCTTTGTACGGTGAGTTGCAGTAGAGAAACTTACTTTTTTCTGTTTCCCAAAGACACAATGTTCACAAAACTCCAACTTACCGATACCTTGATTACCAAGGAGACCTTGCTTGCTCAAAAGATGCATGCCTTTTTCACTCATATGGCCCAGGCGCATGTGCCATAATTTGGTGACATCATTATCAAGCATAGAAGAAGATACAGCTGCTGAACCTGTCACAACAGAACCTTGCAAGAAATATAAAGTACCAACTCGGTTACCTTTCAACAAAACAAGGACACCTTTTGATACCTTTAGGACTCCACCTTCAGATGAAAACTTGCACCCAAGAGATTCAAGGGTGCCAAGAGAGATAAGATTCCGCTTTAATTCAGGAATAAAGCGAACATTAGTCAGAGTCCTGACAACACCATCATGAGCCTTGATCTGAATAGTACCTATTCCTTCAACTTTGCATTGGGTATCATTAGCCATTAAGACAATACCACCATTAATTGGTTCAAAAGTGGTAAATAGATCCCTATAAGCACACATGTGGTATGTGCATGCAGAGTCAAGAAGCTACTTATTTTTACTTCTCTTGTCAGAAGAGACAACAGATACCATAACATTTCCATCAGAATCAGTCTCAATATTAGCAGCTTCAACAGGTTGTTTACCTTTTTCTTTCTTTTGTTTATTTTCTTCTTTTTTCTTTAAGATAAAACAATCAGAAATATCATGCCTATATTTTTTGCAATAACGACAGGTAGTGTTGGATTTTCGTCCCCTAGATTTGGATCTACTCTTTTTGTGACTAGTACTCCCTTTGACTTGAGTTCTACCTCTAACACTTAGACCTTCACCCTTGTCCTCAGAATGAATTTCAAGATCAAATTTTTCTTTGGATAATAAATTAGATTTAACATCTTCAAAGGATAAGGTGTCATTATTACCATACAACATAATTTCCTTGAAGTGTTTGTAGGTAGAAGGTAAAGAGACAACCAACAAAACAACTTTATCTTCATCATCGATTTTAATATCGATATTTTGTAGATCCATAATAATAGAATTAAACTCATCAAGATGAGATTGAATGGGAGTACCTTCTATCATACGGAACGTATATAATCGCTCCTTGAGACGAAGCTTGTTGGCGAGGCTTTTAGTCATATACAAAGTTTTCAACCTTAACCACAATTCCGCAGCGGTGGTTACATCGGCCACTTCACGTAGAACCTCCTTGGACAAGCAAAGTTGGATTGCTGAAAGCGCCTTTTCATCCAACTCATCCCATTGCTCATCGGTCATGAAAGCCGATTTTTTTAACTTTCCATCTAAAGCTTTCTTTAATCCGTTCTGAGTGAGAACGGCTCTCATTTGGACTTTCCAAATAGAAAAGCTAATCTTGCCATCAAACTTCTCAATGTCAAATTTTGTAACGGTAGACATTTCCAATTAAATAACTGCTCTGATACCACTTGTTGGGGGTATCAACTCAATGCGGAAGACTGGATCGAATTTAATTGGAAATAAAGAGAAGTAAGAGAATAATGAAGACAAAATTTTAACGTGGAAAAAACTCTAAATCGGAGAAAAAACCCACGGACAACGACGAGCAAAATGATTCCACTATGTAAAAGGAAGAGTACAAAAAGTCCTCTAAAATTATGAGGACAAAGAGTAATAAATCACTTTATTTTCTCTCTCAATAAATAC